ACCTATATGCGGGTCAAGAAGCAACAGTGAGAACCGAACACGGAACCACTGATTGATTCAAAATTGGAAAAGGAGTCCGGCAAGGCTGTATACTGTCGCCCTGCCTATTTAACTTATATGCAGAGCACATCATGAGAAAGGCAGGGCTAGATGAATCAAAAGTTGGAATTAAGATTGCCGGGAGAAATATCAACAACCTAAGATATGCAGATGATACCACTCTAATGGCAGAAAGTGAAGAGGAACTAAAGAGCCTCTTGATGCGGGTGAAGAAGGAGAGTGCAAAAGTTGGCTTGAAACTCAACATTAAGAAAACCAAAATCATGGCATCCGGCCCTCTCAATTCCTGGCAAATAGATGGGGAAGAAATGGAGGTAGTGACAGATTTTATTTTTCTGGGCTCAAAGATCACCTCAGATGGGGACTGCAGCCAAGAAATTAAAAGACGCTTGCTCCTGGGGAGGAAAGCTATGGCAAATCTAGACAGCATTCTAAAAAGCAGAGACATCACCCTGCCAACAAAAGTGCGTATAGTCCAGGCCATGGTTTTCCCAGTTGCAATGTATGGCTGTGAAAGTTGGACCATAAGAAAGGCTGAGCGCAAAAGAATTGAGGCCTTTGAACTATGGTGCTGGAGAAGACTCCTGCGAGTCCCTTGGACTGCAAGGCGTTCAAACCGGTCAGTCCTAGAAGAGATCAACCCCGACTGCTCTTTAGAAGGCCAGATCCTGAAGTTGAAACTCAAATACTTTGGCCACCTAATGAGAAGGAAGGACTCACTGGAGAAGGGCCTAATGCTGGGAAAGATTGAGGGCAATAGAAGAAGGGGACGACAGAGAATGAGATGGCTGGATAGAGTCACTGAAGCAGTAGGTGTGAATTTAAATGGACTGCAGAAGATGGTAGAGGACAGGAAGACTTGGAGGAACGTTGTCCATGGGGTCGCGATGGGTCGGACACAACTTCGCAATTAACAACAACAACAACAAAATAATTAAGAATTGAGGATGGCCTCAAATTTCTATACTCTAACCATCCCTGTTATGTCCCAAGCCTTGCAAACGGGCTCGGGGCGTTTGCAGGCAGTCCCGGGCAGGTGCAAGCTACCCGGGACCAGACAGGCTGTCGACAGCGCCTGTGCGCACGCGCGGGTGCTGGCGTGGGAAAAGTAACACATTGACCCGGGAATTGCCTATATAAGAGGCTGGGAGCTGTTGGGCGTTGCTGAAGCCTTCACCTGTAAGCTGAACCCAGAATAAACGAAAACTTGAGAACTACAACTGCTTCTCGTGTCTGCTTTTCGCCAAGGACTCAACACTGGCGACGAGGATGGGATGCCTTACATCGTCTGGAAAGGAAGAGGTGTAAGCTTACCCAAGTGAGGCCTGAGCACTGCCCTAGTCCTGAGTTTCAGAGTTTCTGGTCCAAAAGGAACGAGTTGTCCACTTCTCAGGGTTGTCTGCTTTGGGGAAACAGAGTTGTCATTCCCACCTCAATGAGGACTAGGATCTTAGAGTCCCTCCACGAGGGTCATCCTGGCATTGTTCGCATGAAGGCCCTTGCGCGCAGCCACTTGTGGTGGCCTGGTTTAGATAAGGACATTGAGGCTAAGGTGCATGCATGCCACCTGTGCCAGCGCTCTCGCCCAGAGATGCCCCAAGCTCCTGTGCATAGATGGGAGGATACACAGTCCCCATGGTCTAGGGTGCACATTGACTACGCTGGGCCCTTTCAGGGCCAGTTCTTCTTGGTCCTCGTTGACAGTCATTCAAAATGGCTTGAGGTTGTACCTGTCTCATCCACCACCGCTGCAAAGACTATTCAGGTACTGAGGGAGATTTTTGCTGCACACGGGCTCCCAGATGTCATCGTGTCTGACAACGGCCCTCAATTTACTTCCTCCGAATTCCAAGCTTTCTTACAGGCTAACATGATTCGTCATGCCACGTCTGCACCCTTCCACCCGTCCACCAACGGTATGGCTGAACACATGGTCCGCATCACAAAGGACGCCTTGAAGAGACTCACCTATGGGGACTGGCATCACAGGTTGGCTGACTTTCTCCTTTCTTATCGCACCACACCGTCCACTTCTACAGGGAGAAGCCCAGCTGAACTTCGCTGGGGGCGCAAACTTACTACGAAACTTGACCGGTTGCATCCGGACAGACTGCCTTCATCTACCTCACATCCTAGGGCACCTAGACAACTACTTGAGGGTGCCCCAGTTTGGACTCGTAATTATGGGCCTGGTCATACATGGGTCCCCGCTTCTATTTCCAGGGTCACAGGTCCTCTATCCTACGAGGTAGCCCTGGACAACGGTCGTGTCCTGCGTCGGCACATCGACCAACTCCGCCCTAGGCGGGATCTTCCAGATGAGACTCCGGGGCCTTTTCCAGGGGGGGAGGGGGACCCTTTAGAGCAAAGGGAGGGGCACGAGCTGCTGCCTACCTCCAATGAGGGAGCCACAAACGGCCCATTCCATGATTCCACGAGTGCCCCAAACAGGAATTCTAAGAGCCTATCCAACTACCAGGCATTCACGCCTACTCCAGCCAGGGAGTCACCCCGGGAGTACAATCACTATTCACCTGCACAACGCAGTACTCCAGTCAGGGAGGATACCCGGGAGCATCCCAATAAATCATACCCCGCAAGAGAGCTGGCACATAATCCCCAGAGTTGGCCTGACCTTACCCCAAGTCCTACAGGGGGTCAAACATACAGGGAGGTGGTCGAGGAACCAAGTCCCGACCGCAACACCTCTAGCCCAAATCAGGGAGTAACTGAGTTTTGGGAAGGTACAGAAACCCACACAAGCCTGGACACAGAAAGGGGCTTAGGGAATGGACAGCCTCCTGACAGGTCTTGGACGGACCTAGGAGGTTCTACAGAGACGCCTAGCAGTGGCTATCACTTCAAGGGGCCTGAGGGCCTACAGCTAGGCAGGTCAACCAGGTCACAAGGTGACAGAAGCCCTGGCCTGGCGAGCCCGGTGGGCGAGCAAGCAGGCCAGGCATTGGGGCACAGTCCTTGGAAGGCACCAAGGCAAGATAAGGAGAACAGGCTCACGTCTCCCTTCAGTCAGGGAACACCTGTCAGAAACCCAGAGCTAAAAAGGTCACAGAGAGCAAGGAAATCTCCTAAGTACTTAGAGGATTACATAACATTGCTGGCTGAACAAAAGCCAGTAAACAGTAGGAGCACTGGGGAGTAGAACATTGCATTAAGAAATGATTGTATGTTGGTAGTAGTTTTAGCCCGGGGGAAAGGGGTGTTATGTCCCGAGCCTTGCAAACGGGCTCGGGGCGTTTGCAGGCAGTCCCGGGCAGGTGCAAGCTGCCCGGGACCAGACAGGCTGTCGCCAGCGCCCGTGCGCACGTGCGGGTGCTGGCACGGGAAAAGTAACACATTGACCTGGGAATTTCCTATATAAGAGGCTGGGAGCTGTTGGGCGTTGCTGAAGCCTTCACCTGTAAGCTGAACACAGAATAAACGAAAACTTGAGAACTACAACTGCTTCTCGTGTCTGCTTTTCGCCAAGGACTCAACAATCCCCAAGTATGGAAGAGTCTTTTCCCTGGCCCGTTTCAATGTCTTGCCCTCAGCGCTACTCGACGGGCGATTCAAGAGGCTCCCGTTTAGTGAGCGACTATGCCCCTGTGATAGGGCTGAAGTTGAAACTGTGGAGCATGTCTTATTATACTGCCCTATGTATAATACAGCCAGAGTTAAATTATTGCCTCTCCTTGGAATTGATCCCTCTATTGTCTAGGGCAGGGGTAGGCAACCTTGGCTCTTTTATGACTCGTGGACTTCAACTCCCAGAATTCCTGAGCCAGCACAGGGGAACTATGGCCCCCTCATGACTCGTGGACTTCAACTCCCAGAATTCCTTAGTCAGCCTGGCTCAGCTTGGAAACCTCTCCCTTTCCCCTCAGCATGGCTGGCTCAGGAATTCTGGGAGTTGAAGTCCACGAGTCATAAAAGAGCCAAGGTTGCCTACCCCTGGTCTAGGGGATGGCTTCTCCTATATTACTTCTTAGGTTTCTAAATTTCTTTTAAGAGCTGTAACTATTAGAGGAGAACGTTGTAATTCCCCTTAGCCAAGGCTTCTGGTGTTAATTGTTTGTGATTGTATTTTTCTTGTGTTTTCTTTTGTTGCACTTGTATTTGGGTCTGTGACCGCAAAATAAAAAATATTATTATTATACAGCATAGTACTATAGAGTAACCAAAAAAATATTTTAAAATACAAAAGTAATTCTAAAATACAGAAGTAATTCTAGCTCTCTATAAGCCCAGTCCTCAAGCTCAGCAAGCAGCAGATGTTCCACAGGCAGCTCCAGGGAAACAAAAACAAAGGCCTGATCGTGCTTGGCCATGTGACCAGCCCCCCCCAAAACAAACCCCACTTCCGGCTTTTCGTAGGCCCGAACCGGCCCAGGCAAGTCACAGTGTTAAAATGGCCACCACAGCAGCCGAGACTGAATCCAAGTCACATGGCTACTGAGGCCTGTTTTTGATCGCAGTTTTGAATTTCTACTATAAATGCCCTTTCTGAATAATCTCGTTTTTGTGAAATCTCGCTAAATAAATGGGGTTACCTGTATACGTAGGAGCAAGATACCAGTTGGCAATGCAGCCAAAATTTCCACCATCCATTTCTTATTTTACTAAACATTTTACCCTTCCTGATGCCTATACAAACTTCACAACAGACAATTGCTCATTGCACCCAGAAAGAAAAATATCTGCCGCTGTTTTGGATCAAACTCATAGCCTCCTGATTGTGAGGTGAGAGCAACACCTCTAGGCCAGTGCACAGCTCATCAACACAAAGACATAATACAAAATTCTACAAAAAACTCAAGCAAAATATAAACCACAGTAATCAGGATGGAGAGAGAGAGAGAGAGAGAGAGAGAGAGAGAGAGAGAGAGGGAGGGAGGGAGGGAGGGAGGGAGGGAGACGGAGAAAGAGAGAGAGAGAGAGACCCACATTTGTTGCTGCACCACTGATTACTTTCCTGCATCTTTTGTCTCAGTGGCTGGAGATGCTACTGAAGAAAGCCAGGGGATGCAGCTACATGGCAGCCCTGGAAGGGAGGCAACCATGGCGGCTGGAGGACATCTCTTGGCCTTGCAACAAGCAGACTCCCACCTTAAAATGCTGCTTTTCAAAAATTCAAGACCCGGAGAGGCGAGGGGGTGGCAGTGGCCTCTGCAAGAAAGCGTGCTCACCCCCCAGGGTCTCAACCAGAGGAAAGGAGCACCAAGGCATAGTTTATATCCACCATGCTGACTTTAGTGTGTCAGATGACCCTACAAGAGGCAAAGGTAAATCTGTAGCTAGGATGCACGAGAGTTTGTTAGCTTTTCAATTGCCAAACCGATATCTCCTTCTGTGTCCACAAGAGCCTGCAGGTTCAGTTCCTGGTTGGGGAAGCCCATCGCTCTGAGCTGCTCCAACTGGATCTGGTAAAGGCCCTCTGGACCTTGCTGTTCCATGTCCTCCTCCTCCTCTTCCTCCTCCTCCTCCTTTTCGCCATCATCTGCTTTGGATGCGTTGCTGTCCAGCTCCAAGCTTTCTTCAATGGAGATGAAGCTCTCTGCTTCCGAAGACGGGCTTTCCCCCTCGTCAGAGTCTTCCATGCTTTCTGGGTCAACATCTGGGTCTGTCAAGGCTTGCAGGAAATCAGGGACTTCCCTGGTGAGAACCAGCAGACTCATTTGCAACTGGAGAAGAGCCTGGACCGCTCGGGGGTTGGTCAGCAGCAGGGCAGAGGCTGACTTGGCCAGTTTGGACGGGAGCTGCTGGGTCCACCCTTGAGGTGGAGGTGCCTCATTTCTCACCGGGGAGTTGCAGTGACTGAGGAACATCTGAGTGGGGCCATTAGGCTTCGCCAGGGCATTGGAGATGTTCTGCATGAATTCCAGGTTGTCCGTGAGCTGATGGACCATGTTTTGGATGCTTTCAGTCTTGCTAGGTCCTGGCCGGACTCCGGGGCCCAACGCTAGCAGGATGTAACCTTGCTCAGCGCTGTTACCGGCGGCACTGCTGATGTCACCGTTACATATATTGTCACCACCACTGCTGTTCGACTGGGGCGCCCACGGGTTGGGCAGAGGCTCCCTGTTCTCTGTCCGGGAGAGGGGGCTGTTCCCCTCGGGGGAAGGTTTCGTGTCTGAGGGGGGAAACGAACTGCCCTGGAACTGGGCCTGCACCGCATTCAGCATTGGGACCTCAATGTCGTTGTAGAGCTGTTGCAAGGCGCTGTAACCGCCTGGGGTGCTCTCCAGGTTGCTCAGGGCTCGGTCGTGGTTCCTGATGATCTCATCCATCACAGCCGGGCTGGTGGCCACGTCGATCATTTCTCGCAGGAATTCGGAGTTGTTAAGGATGTGGTTGATCTCTGGGTTCTGCTCAGCCAGCTGCTGCATCTGAGGCACAGACAGAATCATCTGCCTGACCTGTTCGGGGTCCCCAAAGAGGTTCTGCACAAAGGGGTGCTGCATCATTTCAATGATGAGCTCCTGCCGGGTCGCATCCTGCTCCTGGGCCTCGCTGACAAAGTCAGAAACCTCCTGGGCATTCAGGTCCAGAACGTTCATGCCGGTGACCCCGAGGAGGAAGCCCAGGAGAAGCGGGTTGCTGTTCAAGGCAGAGGCGTCCAGGTTCAGCGTGACCATCTGGAGCAAAAGGTTCTCTGTGGTCTGGGCAACAATTTCGTGGCAGGAGGCCATCAGGTCTTCAGGCTGGCTGCTCCAATCCGAGAGGTCCAGGCTGTGTTCCGAGGAGATCTCTCGAGCTGCCGGCATTGGTGGGAAGGCGGTGGGCGTAGTGGGATTGTCCCCTAGGTTGCCTGAGAGCTTCCTCTGAGACTTGATGAAGAGATGGACTTTGGAGCCGTCGCCAATCTTGTGCTGCACGAGGCTATCCTGGTCGTTGAGAATCTCACCGGCAAAGATGAGGGACAGCTGCTCAGGGGGCGTCTTGAAGCGGTCAGCAATCAGCTTCTTGAACTCTTGGACGCGGGTGCTGTCGGCCACCTCAAATTGCTCCTTGCGCTTGAGGGTCTTGACAGTCACTCTGACGACCCGGCTTCTGTGGTTTGCAGCCCCGGGGGCTCTTTTGCTCTCAGACATGGCCGCTCAGAGGCTGTGGCTGCGGTCGGAGGGTGATGAAGGACCTTGTGAAGAGAGCAGAGGTTCAGGGAGAACGAGGAGGAGGGAAGCAGGAAGTCTCTTTCCAGTGGGGCGGTGGTGCTTGTGAGGAGGTGGGAAGGGGCCAGTGGTCTCCTGCCCCCTTGCGTCTCAGCACCAGCCAAGGCCAGATCACACATACCAGCGAGATGTTGCCTTTCTCGTCCGCTGGCTCACAACCTGGCGGGTTCCTTCATTTTCCTTTTCTCCCCTCTTGTCTTGCCTTGGACATGTCTTCTCCCTGAACTTGGCTGGACTGTGATCTCACTGCTGACATCACAGAGATCTGTGACACAGCTGGTGGGCCACATCTCCAGGGGTTTTGTCCTCGGGAAGTTTGGCCATCGCCCTCCACCCACTCAGGGCCGTTCGGTCCCTGCTTCTGGAGCATTGCTAGTCCGGTCCTGCACCACACAACCTCCTGATATCACAGATCCATGGATGACTCGTGGAAAGGACCTTGCCTGTCTCCCCAGTCAGTTATAAAGTGGAATATTTGTAGCTCACGGTTGAAATGAAGGGTCCTTGGTGCTCTCGGAGTTTGATTGTTTTCTTGCTGACGTTTCATGGCCCAAACTAGGTAGCCTCTTCAGTGCTAGAAGGGAGTTGGGTTTGTTCTCTGTTTATATACAATACAAGCCCCCTATTTTGTAGCACTGATGATGTTACCTAGTTAGGTCATGAAATGCCTGCAAGAAAACAGCCAAGTTCAGGGAGCACCGAGGACCCCTCAGTCAGTTACAATGCTGCAGGTGTCAAAAGAATCACCTGGAGGAAAATGTTTCTGCTCTTGAAAATCCAAACTGACGGAGCAGAAAACATCTAAGGGCACTTTGCAGCTTCTGAGGCCTCTTTCAAACCATAGGTGGCCCTTTGGTTCCAGAGCGAGCGCCTTCTCTGAGAAACAAAAGGCAGAGCAAAAGAGCCAGACATGGCAGACGATTCCTCTTGTGGGATTCGTTGTCTAGCTGAAATAAACAATCCCAGGCCAAAACTTCCAAGAGAAAACCATGGTAATTTATTTGCACTCCTTTGCAAAGGGGACGCTCCTTGTGCACGCAAGCACACAGTGGACACACTTTAAATCTTCAATATTCATTCTTTGTATTCTCCATTGCCGTTACAAATTTACCTCCCTCCTCTTCTTCATTGGCTTAGCAATCGTACTATAATCATGTCGTCACAACCTATCCAAAACTTCTAAATCAGGGGTCTTCCAACTTGGCCCTTTGATGACACGTGGACTTCAACTCCCAGAATTCCTCAGCCAGGCTTACCTGGCTGAGGAATTCTGGGAGTTGAAGTCCACAAGTCATCAAAGGGCCAAGTTTGAAGACCCCTGTCTTAAAGCATCCTGACTGAGGAATTCTGGGAGTTGAAGTCCACAAGTCATCAAAGGGCCAAGTTTGTTCTAAAGTAAATATATTATCTCCACCCCTGATTACTTCTCCCATTACTCTAATTTTATCGCCCCCGGTCCTTATTTATGAATTTCCTTTTATGGTTTTTAGTGCCTAGGGGTTCTATCTAAAATTGCTATTATAGACTAGATGACCTCCAAGGTCCCTTCCAACACTACTACTACTACTACTACTACTACTACTACTACTACTACTATTATTATTATTATTATTATTATTATTATTATTATTATTATTATTATTATTATATCAGTAGATTCTGGTTAGGACGGGTTTTCAGCGTAGCAGAAACCTTCCTAGATACTTCTCAAGCTTCAAATTAGGCTCACGAGAATAAAATACACACAATGTATTTGCTCCACAGGCTAGCAGTTCCTCTCACAGTTCTGTAAAAACAATAAGCTCTTTTTCCCACACTCTTCAGTTTCATGTAGCTAAGCTCTTTTTCCCACACTCTTCAGTTTCATGTAGCTATACAATGTAGGACATGGGCTGTATATTGAAATATGGGATGGAGGAAACCCACAAGCCAAAAGCAAAGGAGAGAGGGGGGACTAATAAGTCTTTCCTTAAAAGCAAAGCTTACTTCTTGGAGTGAAAGTGTGTTTTCCTCACACAACTGGAAAAACAAAATTATTCTTCTAACAGGGATTCATAAAAAGATGCTAAACTTTTTTTTTTAAGTGCTACAGCACCAGAAATACTTATGTGTGAGAGAGTGGACCGGATGGGAAGGAGGATTGTCAAAAAGAAAAGGACACATTTGTGGTCCTGGGTGCCCTCTGAGCTGGGTGGTTTTCTTGCAGACGTTTCATGACCCAACTAGGGAACATCATCAGTGCTAGATGGAAGGAGGGTTTGCAGAGAGGGAGGAGCAGGAAGAGGGGGATTTTGGGGTCCTTGGTGCTCTTTGGTGGTTTTCTTGCAGACGTTTCATGACCCAACTAGGGAACATCATCAGTGCTAGAAGGGAGGAGGAGGAGGAGGAGGAGGAGGAGGAGGAGGAGGAGGAGGAGGAGGAGGAGGAGGAGAACAACTGTGGGGTCCTGGGTGTTCTCTGAGCTTGCTGGTTTCCTTGCAGACATTTCATGACCCAACTAGGGAACATCTTCAGTGCGAGAAGAGAGAGGGGTTATGTTGTATATAAATAGAGAGCAAACCTCGCCTCTATCTACCACTAAGGATGTTCCTTAGTTGGGTCACGAAACGTCTGCAAGGAAACCAGCAAGCTCAGAGAGCACCAAGGACCCCACAGTTCAACCCTGACCTGCAAATATTCCCTTCTAATGACACATTTATTTTACGGATGATAAATTTGATTGATGATGCCCAGCCTGGACCGCCTTCCTTGGCATTTTCACCCTGTCCTTTGGGGCAATAGAGAAGACGTCCACTCCCTCCCCGCTGTGAGGTTTGAAGGCTGCTCCTGTGCCTCCACTGGGTCTGTCCTGCAGGCTGAACATCTCCAGACCTTCTAGGGCTCTTCCAGCCGCCTGGAACTGACTTGGGGGAGGTGGGGATAATGGCCTGGGGCTTCACCGAAGGGGCAAAGCAAGGGATCCTGGCCAAACTCTCCAAGAGAGCTGGGAGAATAGGCCCTCTTCAAGAGCGATTGATGGACTGATTTGCTCATTCTGTTGGGATGCCGGGGGATGCCAACCAACCTGTGTTGCTCCTGCAGTTTTCCTTCCAGAAGGGAATCATTTGGGGCCTCCCAGAAAACTATCATTGCAAAGTCCTCCCCACTTTCTGCTCTGGAGTCCCTCTGCAGCCTGCCTCAAGGGAGGAACCTGTCTGCTTCTCTTCCTCCCTCTCTGCTCTGGAGGAGGAGGAGGAGGAGGAGGAGGAGAATGACCGTGGGGTCCTGGGTGCTCTCTGAGCTGGGTGGTTTTCTTGGAGACGTTTCATGACCCAACTAGGGAACATCATCAGTGCTAGAAGGGAGGAGGAGGAGGAGGAGGAGGAGGAGGAGGAGGAGGAGGAGGAGGAGGAGGAGGAGGAGGAGGAGGAGGAGGAGGAGGAGATATCAGCCAGGTTCTGGCAATCCAGGGCTGGCAATCCACCCCCAATTCCTGAGGTCCAGCTGCTGCTTGGGCTGAGCCTTCCAGAGTACAGTGTAGAATTCAGCCCCCAAACCCAGCCTGGGTGTCCCCACCACATTCTCCTGTGGCAGCCAATTCTGACCCTGAGACTGGAATGCAAAGCTCTCTGCCACCACCCCCTCAGCTGTGAACAGGCGTGGGGCAACCCCTTCCCAAAGTGTCCAGCAGTGGCCAATCCGTCATTCAGGCCAGGGCTACTGAGTTGAGGAGCCCCAGGCCCTTTTAGTGCAAGGCTCTGATCTGGTGGGAATGAGCAGGCAGGAAGGCTGCTGGTCTTTCACTTTTGGTTTATAAGGTGGAGCGGATGTTGAAGAACATGTTACAGGAACGTCACCCCCAAGACAAAGGAGATCTCCTGGTTTCCTTCTGATTTCCTGGAACGGCTTCTTCTCATTCCCAGCAGGGCAGCTGTGCAGGAAGAGCGATTCTCCAGCTTGCGCCCTGGGCTGCCCATCTGACCTTGGAGCTTCTAAGGGCGCAGCCCCTTCCTTCCTTCCTTCCTGGGAGAAGAGAGGAGAGGTGGTGTCCCTATTCCAAAGCAGCTGATTCTTCTCCAGAGGGAGAGCCAGTGGCCACGGCCCCCATCGCAGGCGTGTGCCCCAACCCCTTCAAGCGCAGCACGAACCAGGGTAGCAGCACCGGGGCTTCCTCCATCAGGGTCTGCAAGCCCTGCTCCATCTGCACCCAGGCCTGGATGGCCTTGGGGCTGGACAGGGCGGCCACCATTTCTGGCCTCTGCATCTGCTGATAAAAATGCTGCAGCTGCTGCTGGACGTGCTCCTGCCGGGCGCCCTGCGTCTCTTGGGAGGCGAGCAGCGCGTTCTGCATGAGGGAGAGCATCACGCGCTGGGTGTAGGCGTTGCAGAGGTTTACAATTAGGGCCTGGATACCCCCTACGTTGCACGGTCCTGCCCCAGGGCTGGGCACAAGGCTGGGCAGGGACGACCCGAGAGGATCCTGAAGGCTGTTGAAGGTGCCACCTTCATCGTTGCTTGAGTTGTTGGTGCAAAACCTCCCGTAGCTGTTGGAGACGGGGAAAGAGCCCGGAGGGCCTCCCGGATGAAATCCCTCGCCACCCCTGACCTTGTGCTCTGGACAAGGGTTCCTGGAGGGGGCAAGGAGGTCCTGGCCTGCATTCGGCCCTGGCTCCTGAACCTCACTGTTGAGTTGCCTCAGGGGGTTGTCCCCACCGGGAGTGTTGTTCTGAACGTTAATCAGGAGTGGCTCTGGATTCTTCAGGTCCTGTTCCACCTCAGGGCTCCTTGCCAGGTCCATAATTTCTCTCATCTTGTCCAAGATCACCCGCATGATGCCCATGTTGTTCAGGATGTGGCAGATGGCAGGGAACTGCTGAGCCAGCTGCTGGATCTCTGGGTTGGCCAAGATCAGCTGCCGGACCTTCTGAACAATCATCTCGGAGGTTGGCGTCTGATGCCACTCAAGGCTGGTGGGATTTGTCTCCGGGGGGCCCCACGAACCCCGAGAGACCGGGTTCAAGGCGGACAGGCTCAGGCTGCTGCCCGTTCGTGCCAGGGCACAGCTTGAGGGCCTGGGCACGTAGGACGACTGAGCAGAGCCTTCTGGATCTCTCTTCAGGGACCGGATGACCAGGTGGACAGTCGTCCCATCACCGACCCCACATTGCTGGAGGGTGCGCTGGTCCTTCAAGATCCTCCCGAAGAACACCAGCACCAGCTGGCACGGCTCACAGGTGAACTGTTCGGAAAGTTTCTCCTTGAACTGCCGTACGGTGGTTTCCCGAGGCAGCACGAACTGGGCACTGCCCTTGGGAGACTTTGCGGTGATGCAGATGAAATTGGGGCTGGGGGCCAGGACAGGGCAGCCGTGAGCGGCGCCCTCTTGGCGCATGTTCAAGGTCTCCATGGTTCATGGAGCAGCCGGAGGAGGAAGAGGAGGAGAAGGGGCCTGCCTAGGAGAAACACGACAGGGGTCTCTTGCCGGATGGACAAAAGGAATGGGTGGGTGTCAAGTCTCCGAGATGGAAGAGCGGTCTGTGTTGGAAGGCAAACTGGCACCCTGAGAGCAAAGCCAGGGTGGGTGTCGGAGCCCCCCTCCCAGGCCTCCTTTTCTCCCCCTCCTCTTACCTTCCTTCCTTCCTTCTTGCTGGGCCAGGGAGCTGCTGTCTCTTCACTATCCCGGCCAGGTGGGGGGCATCACTGTGACATCGCCGGGGATGTCACTCCATGGCCAAGCTGGTCAAAAGGGCTCCCAGGAGCCAGTCTGGGGTCCTGAGCCGACTGCCAAGGCCGGCTGGGCTCTTGCCCGCCTCTTCTCCGGATTGGAGGGCTCAGGAAACTGGGGGGGGGGTTATTCTCGAGATTGAGGAGGTTTATCTCTCCAGAAGCCAGAATATAACTTCATCACTCTAGCACAAGTTGGCTGGAAGGGATGGAAACTGGTTGCCCAGATCTGCCATCCCATAATAGACTGGGTGATAGGCTTCCCAGAGGGAGAAACATCTGAGAAAGATGCTTCTCTGCTGATTGAGCCCCTATGAATCCCCCCAAAATATGCCTTTTGGGGGAAGGATGAATAATTCAGTTTACTGTGATATTCAGATTGAACATGAAGCCCCATCTGAGAGTTTGGCAGTGGAGTCCGTGATCCAGGGAAGGGTGCTCAGACACGTTGCCACCAAACAGCTGGCATAGATATGCAGGAAGGGCCCTTGACATGGAGTGGAGTGGAGTGTAGTGTAGTGGAGTGGAGTGGAATGGAATGGAATAGAATAGAATAGAATAGAACAGAATAGAACAGAACAGAACAGAACAGAACAGAATAGAATACATAATAGAATAGAACAGAACAGAACAGAATAGAATAGAATAGAATAGAATAGAATAGAATAGAATAGAATAGAATAGAATAGAATAGAATAGAATAGAATAGAATAGAATAGAATAGAATAGAATAATAATGGAATGGAATGGAATGGAATGGAATGGAATAGAATAGAATAGAATAGAATAGAATAGAATAGAATAGAATAGAATAGAATAGAAGCTGGAAGGGACCTTGGAGGTCTTCTAGTCCAGCCCCCATTCAAGCAGGATAACTTATACCATCTCAGACAAGTGACTGTCTAGCCTTAAATATCTCCAGTGATGGAGCGCCCACGATTTCTGGTGGCAAGGTGTTCCACTGGTTAATTGTTCTTACTGTTAGAAAGTTTCTCCTTAATTCCAGGTTGCTTCTCTTTTTGATCAGTTTCCAACGATTGTTTCTTGTGCTTTGAAGAATGGGTTGTCCCCCTCCTCTTTGTGGCAGCCCTTCAAATACTGGAATACTGCTATCATGTCAGCCATTTCTTCTTTTCTCTAACTAGCCAAGTCCTGCAGCCATTCTTCGTATGTTTTAGTCTCCAGGCCTTCAATCATCTTAGTTGCTCTTCTCTGAATTTTTTCTAAACCCTCGACATCTTTTTTGTGATATGGTGACCAAAACTGGCTATAGTATTCCAGGTGTGGCCTCACTAGGGTTTTATAAAGTGGTACTAATACTTCATGTGATCTTGACTCTATGCCTCTGTTTTACCACCCAGGATTGTATTAGCTTTTTTGGCTGAAGCTGCACACAGCTGGCTCACGGTCAAGCGATCGTCCACTAGGACTCCAAGGTCCCTCTCACAGTTGCTGTTTTTGAGCCAGGTCTCACCTAATCTGTACTTATATCTTTGATTTTTCCTGCCTAAATGTAAAACTTTGCTTTTCTCCACATTGAAACTCATCTTGTTCCAGTTTGTCAAGATCTTTTGAGTGGACTTCCCTTGCTGGCTAACTCACAGCTCACTCCAGGAGTTCCATCCTGACCGGCTCAAGGTGGACTCAGCCTTCCGTCCTTCAGAGGTGGGTAAAATGAGGACCCAGATTGTTGGGGGCAACAGGCTGACTCTGTACACTGCTTAAAGAGGGCTGTAAAGCACAGTAACGTGGCATATAAGTCTAAGTGCTATTGCTACTGTTATTTGGGACGTCCCGCCTTCTTGCAAACTCTCCTAAAGCATGCAACCAGCATTATGTGCAATCTTCCAGAGGCACCAGAGATTGGCATATCACAATATTGGCGGCTTAGTTTTCATTCCTAAGTACTTCTTGCAAGTAATCTGAATCCATATCATTCTATCGCCTCCCAGAGTCACTTGGTTGAGTTGGGCAGCTATAGAAAAGGAAGGAAGGAAGGAAGGAAGGAAGGAAGGAAGGAAGGAAGGAAGGAAGGAAGGAAGGAAGGAAGGAAGGAAGGAAGGAAGGAAGGAAGGAACAAATAGTGCTCTTTGATACATACAGCACTTTGCTGAACAAACTAGGTCAACCATATTATGACTCACACAGCACACAAAGAGAAAGGCTGGGTCCCACACAACACGCTGGACATTAAATCTTAAATCTAGAGTGTTGTTGTGTGAGCTTAGCCACCAGCTTTACACAACCTCAAGATTGCTGGGTTCAACTATCTGAAAGGAAGAGAAGACGAGCTGCTTCGGATGGACTTGCTCAGCTGTGGAGAGCAGGACTGGGCCCGGCCAGGGGCCCTCGGAGGCTTTGCAAAATGGGGTCTGCACAAATCCTTCCCTGTCATCCCTCCACAGCCAAACAGGATGAGAGACAGGATGAAATAAGGCAGCAAAGAAAAAAACCTTCTTGCCCTCCCCTCAGCTCTGTTGGCAGGGGTCCAACTCCACTTGTGCCCTTGTGGGTTTTGGCTTGGAGTTATGGGCGCCTGCTTCTGCAGCTCTGTGTGTGCACGCATGTGGAACTCACATTGACCAGCGGGAACCCTTTGGGGACTGCAAGGTCCTGTTGCCAGCCTCAGGCAGACGTCCTCTGGCTCTTCCTCCTCCGGGGTCTCCCAACTATGAGCTAGTCGAGCCAAGCCCCCCCCCCCCCTGGGGCCAGGTAGGTATGTGGGCCCTCGGCAAGATGTCTGCCATGACAGTGGTCTCCCGTGGGTTGGTGCAGTTATCGTCCTCCACCACATCTATGTTTTTAGAATAACAGACTTGGAAGGGACCTTGTGGGCATTTAGCCCAACCCATTGTCCAAGCAGAAGACCCTACCCCATTTCTGACAGATGGCAGTCCAGCCTCTCCTTGAAAGCTTCCACTGCTGAAGCTCCCACAACCTCTGAAGGCAAACGGTTCCATTGGTTAATTGTTCCGTCAGGAAATGTCTCCTTATTTCTAGGTTGAATCTCTCCTTGATCAGTTTCCATCCGTTATTCCTTGTCTGGCTCTCAGGTGCTTTGGAAAACAGGCTGACCCCCCCCTCCTCTCCGTGACAGCCCCCTTAAATATTGGAAGGCTGCTATCCTGTCTCCCCTGGTCCTTCTCCTCACTAGACCAGTCAAGCCCAGTTCCTGTAGCCCAGACATGTCAAACACAAGGGCCGGGGGCCAGATGCAGCCCGCGAAGTGGTGTCATGTGGCCCACGAAGCCATCCTGGAAATAGTGAGGGAACGGCCCCCGCTGCCTTGGTCCTGGCCCAGACTGGCCGGGAGGGAACCAATGTACAATTTTGCGTTGGCCATCTATGCTGAAATGCATTCAGTCTTAGCTCCAAAAGGCTGTCTGGAAACAGCGAGGAACCAGCCCCTGCTGCGTTGGCCCCGCCCCCTGGGTGCACGCTGGAGAGGTGTCACCCTTTGTGAGGAATGAAGAAATGGACCATGCCTTGGCGCTTATCCCGGTCCCACCCCCTTCTGCCAGAGACCCCCAGATCTGTCCCACTCCTGCCCAGGCCCCCACAGGCACCATTGACACGAACGATGTAGAGCTGGCCATGCCCACCCAGTAGGCCACACCTACTCCATCCACGCCCACTCAGTAGGCCGCACCCACCCTGGCCACACCCACCTGGCCCCCTGAGGGCAACCGCAATGCTGATGCGGCCCTCAATGAAATTGAGTTTGACACCCCTGCTGTAGCCGTTCTTCCTGTTTCAGCCTCCAGTCCCCTGATCACCTCGGCTGCTCTTCTCTGCCAAGGCTGTCCCCCAGCGGGAGGAAATCAAAGGCCTTTGGACAGGTGAAAGGGCGCTCTGGATGTCCATCACCAGACCAGTGGCCACCACTATGGACTATTGCGGCGTCTCTGGAGACTCTCAGCCATCTGGCTCACGACTGTCCCAAAGGTGCTTTTTTTCCACCTGGACTTACTTGTGGTTTGTTTTTTTTTCCCCTTGAAAACTTTTTGCTTCTCATCCAAGAAGTTTCTTTAGAAGTGAAGAAACTTCTTGGATGAGAAGAGGAATATTTTCAAGGAAAAAAAATCAAGGAAGTCCAGTTACCTTTTGGAAAACCACCTTTGGGATAATTATTGCACTGATTTCCTGTGCTGGACTGGATTGTAGCCAGCTAGGACTGTGTTAGAATATTTGACATTTACAGGGTTAATGTTGTATCATATATGTAAGAACATATAGCATTTGAAAGGTTAAACACCGTTTCCTTAAGCGATGGCTTATGGGTAATGTAGTTTCAGTTGTTAGTTAATCCTATAGCTCAGGGGTTCTCAACCTTGGCAACTTTAAGACTTGTGGACTTCAATTCCCAGAATTCCTCAGCCAGCAAAGCTGGCTGAGGAATTCTGGGAGTTGAAGTCCACAAGTCTTAAAGTTGCCAAGGTTGAGAACCCCTGCGTATAGCTTATCTAATGGGAGGAGTTTAAAAGTTTATTGCAGGACTTCCTGTCTTTGTGCCATTGTATGATCTCTCTGCATGGATTCCCAGTGATCCGTGCCAGCATGTAACCTTTACGCAGAATGGAGGAGTCCATTATTCCTTTACCTATGAGAATGAACAATATCCTAATGACCAGACGTATCTTCTGCATAGTAAGTCTCTGCTTAGAATTCCTGGACAATAAATATTGTTTTAAAATCGTTCTCATTGAGTTTATGTTGTCTGGACCAGAACTATAAAGCAACTCAGTTCATGGTTCCGGAATATTTCCAGTGATTCGTTGCAAGAGATGGGAGCGTGGGAAAAAAATGAGGTGGTTGCACACACCCCCTTGGTGAAAGGTTGCAAGACCAGCCCAGATTTCTCTTCTTGGAAAAAAGGGCCAAACTCCCCGAATGTGGTTAGAGGTTTTGGCCCCTTTGCCGAGAAGCGGACTCGACCTTAAGGGCCAGAAGCCCGGTGCAGGGCCCAGCCAGAAGCAACAGGAGACGTGCTGAAAGATTTAAAGCTTTTAATCAGAAACCATGAAATCCATTCCTTTATGAAGCTCTCGCATCTGCACAGAAGCTACCCCAGAAGGGCCCCATCCACTCCGCCGAAGGCTCAGCCCTGCGGCTTCAGAGCTTGTATGTCTGCTGCTTCGAAGAGGCTTGCCCCGAGCAGCCCCGCAGGTGGACACGGAGGGGGGGGCTGCAGAAGAAGTCATCGGCCGCCAAACTCTGCCAGATCTCAGGGGCAGAGAAGCCCTTCTCCTCCCCTGCCCCAGACAGGGGCATCATGTCACAGAGGGATGTGATGGAAGACGACCTCCGGGCGGGGCGCTCTGATCGGCTGTGCCTCTCCAGCGCCGGCTCATCGGTCGCCAGGGCCTGCAACCTCTGCTGAATTTCCAGCAGCCCCTGGATCTCTTTAGGGCTCCAGCTTGCCAGAAGGACATCTGTGTTTTGGATCTGTTGCAAGAGAGCGGGGATCTGCTCCCGGGAGTTTCTGGATCCAGCCATGTACTTCTGGGCAGCCTTGCCCGCCCCCTCTGAGCCGAGACTCTGACCGGTGGGGTTCCTGGAGGGGCTGCTGGCCATGCTCTGCACGAGGTGCTTGATGATCTGATGGAGCAGGTTCTTCACCGCTGCTGAGGCCAGCTGGCCCGTTTCCCCTCGCACGTTGCCACTTTCTCCTTTGCTGTGGTCATGGCCGACAGCCGTGCCAATGTTCTGGCCACCGGACCTTGGGGGCCACAGTTTGGAGGAAGGCAGCTGCTGCCTGGCCCGCCCAGACTTCCCGCCCTGCTCAAAGGAGGGCTGGTGGCCCCCGAGGACTCCTGGCAATACGGTGGGGGCAGATCCTTTGAGGAGGGCCTTCCGCACCAGGCCCTGCAGCTCCATCAGCAGGTCCTGCAAGGCCGTGTTGCTGTCTCCACTGGGGACGCTCCCGGGACAAGGGTGAGCCTGGGGTGGGGACTTGATGATTTCCCTCAGAGCAGCTGGGTTCTTGACCAGCTCCGACACCAACCTCCTGCCTTCAGGAGAGCTGAAGACCTGGATGATCTCGGGAGCCCTCTCTATTACTCGCCGCACCTGGAGGCTCTTGGTGGCCAGCTCCTTCATCAGATCGGGACTTGAGACTTTGCTCTGGATGAAGGGGCTCTCCAAAAACTGCAGCATCAGGTCAGGATTGGATATCAGCTGGATCTGGAATTCCGTGAAACTGGCGGGGTTCAGGCCCAGGCTGGCCGCCAGATCCCGCAAACTGTCACTTGCAAAAATGCCGTTCCTGGGGGCTTTGGGGTCTGGGCCCAGGTCAGTTGGAAGGGTGGGCACCTGCCGGGGTGGACCTGCTTGTTGGGACCGGATGACGACATAAACAGCAGCGTTGCTGTCCAGATGGATCCCGTGCTGGGCTAGGGACTTGTGGTCTTTTAAGATCCTTCCAGTGTAGACCAGCACAATTTGGGAAGGAGGAGAGGACAAGTGCCGGGCTACGTGCTCCTTGAATTCCCTCACCAGCATGTCCTTGTGGACTAGAAACTCTTCCTTCTGCCAGGGTGCCTTCACAATTATCCGGACAACCTGTGGCTCTTTGGTGGATCTGAAGTCAACTCCTGGAATGATCTGGCTTTCAACCATAATGCCGCAAAGTTTTTCCTCTCTCTTCTGGGAAAAGAACGAAGGCCAAGTGGGTAGCAAGCAGAGATGAAAGCTCTCCCTTGGCTGTGGCCGGTCAGAGTCAGAGCGCGCTGCTCATCCCAGCCCAAAGTGCCCCTGCCCAACTTCCTCACTCTGCCCACGTGCAAGCTATGGGTCTCCTCTTCTACCTGCATCTCTCCCCCGCCCACAGAGATACCACGCCAACCTTCTGAGGCGGAATCCACGGTCTGTGATGTCACTGTGGAGGCCACTGGCTGGACCTCTGCCCGGCCTTCTACAGGAGGCTGCCCAGGGGGAGTTCTGTGGGCCGGGACCCCTCCCCAGGGCCAACCTCTACAAGCCACAGGTCATCCTTGATGGGCTCAAGCCCCCTCAGCCCTCCTGTGGCATCCCAGCGAAACGCTCCTTGTGTCCTCAGAAGCCAACACAACAGTTGCATGTCCTGCACCTCCTTCCCACAACTGGTGCTGGGCAGGAAATTGAGTGGAACGGTCACAGGCTCAACGCAGGGCACAAGGTGGAAGCTTCCCCTCAACCGTCAGCAGTTCGCTCCCCTCCTTCAGGTAGAGTCCCACAGTTCACCCCCATTAACAGGGTCTTCAAGCAAGAGCCTCATGGAAGTTGGAATTACAGCTGATGGCACTGCAGCCAAACCCCTCAGCTCTCTCCAGCATGGTGCCATCTAAGCTTTACAAAACCTCAATCAGGCCATACCTGGAATGCAGCATCCAGTTTTGGTCACCACACTACAAAAAAGATGTTGAGACTTTGGAAAAAGTGCAGAGAAGAGCAACTCAGATGATTAAAGGCATCTTAGACAAAAACATACAAAGAACGACTGCAGGACTTGGGTATGGCCAGCCTAGAGAAAAGAAGGACCGGGGTGACATGGTAGCAGTCTTCCAGTATATTTTGAGTACAACATATTTTTGTAGTAGTCTAATACTCTCTAATGATACCACTCTAATGGCAGAAAGTGAAGAGGAACTAAAGAGCCTCTTGATGCGGGTGAAGAAGGAGAGTGCAAACGTTGGCTTGAAACTCAACATTAAGAAAACCAAAATCATGGCATCCGGCCCTCTCAATTCCTGGCAAATAGATGGGGAAGAAATGGAGGTAGTGACAGATTTTATTTTTCTGGGCTCCAAGATCACCTCAGATGGGGACTGCAGCCAAGAAATTAAAAGACGCTTGCTCCTGGGGAGGAAAGCTATGGCAAATCTAGACAGCATACTCAAAAGCAGAGACATCACCCTGCCAACAAAAGTGCGTATCGTCAAGCCATGGTTTTCCCAGTTGCAATGTATGGCTGTGAAAGTTGGACCATGAGAAAGGCTGAGCGCCAAAGAATGGAGGCCTTTGAACTATGGTGCTGGAGAAGACTCCTGCGAGTCCCTTGGACTGCAAGGCGTTCAAACCGGTCAGTCCTAGAGGAGATCAGCCCTGACTGCTCTTTAGAAGGCCAGATCCTGAAGTTGAAACTCAAGGACTTTGGCCACCTAATGAGAAGGAAGGACTCCCTGGAGAAGGGCCTGATGCTGGGAAAGATGGAGGGCAATAGAAGAAGGGGACGACAGAGAATGAGATGGCTGGATGGAGTCACTGAAGCAGTAGGTGTGAACTTAAATGGACTCCAGAAGATGGTAGAGGACAGGAAGACCTGGAGGAATGTTGTCCATGGGGTCGCGATGGGTCGGACACGACTTTGCAATTAACAACAACAAATACCCTCTAAATACAAATTTTAACCTCAAATCCATCAATACCATTTTAACATGAAAAGAAGGACTAAGGGGGACATGATAGCAGTCTTCCAATATATCTTAGTGGTTGCCCCAAAGAAGAGGGAGTCAAGCTATTCTCCAAAGCCCCTGAAGGCAGGACGAGAAGCAACGGATGGAAACTGATCAAGGAGAGAAGCAACCTGGAACTAAGGAGAAACTTCCTGACAGTTACAACAATTAACCAGTGGGACAACCTGCCTCCAGAAGTTGTGGGTGCTCCATCATTGGAGGTTTTTAAGAAGAGACTGGACAGCCACATGTCTGAAATGGCCTAGGGCAGGGGTGGGCAACCTTGGCTCTTTTATGACTTGTGGACTTCAATTCCCAGAGAGAGAGCCAGTGAGGCCCAGCAGTTGGCCTGGGGCAAAACAAGGAAGGGAAGGGGGGAGTCCCTGGCGTTCTTCTGCTGGGCCCCAATTCGCCTAGTTCCCCCTTGTGGTTCTGCAGTGTGTGTGGGGGGGGGTCCCCTCGGGTTTTTGTGCTCACATCTGTCCAGCGGCCCCCACCTTCATGCACAGCATTGCAAGGCAAAAGGGCAGGGGCCCATCATGGGGGTTTGGGATGTGCGCAGCCCCCTCCCCCAATGCTTTCAAGCAATCCACAGAAAAGACCACCCAATGGGGAAGGGGGGGCAAAAGGCCCAGCCCATCCAAACCCTTTCTGGGGACAACTTCCAGGAGGAGGCCAGAGGAGGTACCCTCACCCCCTCGCAGCCAAAGAGGCACCAGTGGTTGAGACAGAAGAGGCTGGACTGAACGGGGGGGGGGGGTGGAGAGGGGTGGGCCTTGTCAAGTGCTCTCGGTCTCAGAGAGGCCAGCCAGAGAGATCCGGAGAGCCCACAAGCAGGACAAGAGAAGGGCAGCTGACCGCTCTCCCGCCCACCCAGGCAGCTGCCTGCAGCTCCCCTTCTGACTCCAGGGAAGAAGCACCACACCAGGCAACCAGGCACGGATGGGCAAGGAGTGGGCAGCTTTAATGGATCTGCAGCCACACTGACCGCTGCAACGAGGCGTTTCCCCCAGGGAGAAGACGGCCCGGAAGAGCAACTGCACCACAAGAGTTCTTGCTGCTCCTGACCTGGGAGTCCATCTCCTTCCCCTGAGAAGGAGGCAGCTCTCGCCCTGTAGCCACCTTCAGCCCAGGTCCTCCCTCACCGTTCGGCCGAGGCGGTCCAGGGTTCAGAAGCAGGTCCCCCCCCTGTGGGAGAGCATACGGATGACCCGCTCCCGGATCTGCTTCGTTCGGACTCCGTAGACAATGGGGTTGAGCATGGGCGGCACAATCACGTAGAGGTCAGCCAACAAGATGTGGATCCAGCTAGGGATGTTGTGGCCGAAGCGATGGGTGAGGAAGGAGAAGAAGGCCGGGGTGTAGAACAAGAGGATGACCGAGATGTGGGAGCCGCAGGTGCGCAGAGCTTTGCGCCGGGCTTCCTTGCAGGCCAGCTGGAAGACGGCCCGGAGGATCAAGGCGTACGAGGCAGCAATGAGCACCACGTCAACGCCAGAGGACAGGAGGGTCGTGGTGAAGCCGTACCAGATGTTGGCGGTGATGTCCCCGCAAGCCAGGCGAGCAATGCCCATGTGCTCGCAATAGGTGTGTGGCATTGTGCTGTGGCCACAGTAGGGCAGCCTCTTCAGGAGGAAGATGGGGGGGAACATGATTGCAAGCCCCCTGACGACGGCGGCAATGGCCACCTTCCCTATCGCGGAAGGTGTGAGGATGGTCATGTAGCGCAGTGGGTCACAAACCGCCACGTAACGGTCAAAGGCCATGGCCAGCAGGATGGTGGACTCTGCAATGAAGCTGAAGTGGGTGAAGAACATCTGGGCGATGCACGCGTCAAAGGAGATCTTCCTGGACCCGAACCAGAAGATCGCCAGCATCTCCGGCACTGTGGAGGTGGACAGCATGAGGTCAGCGACTGCCAGCATGGCCAGGAAGAGGTACATGGGCTGGTGGAGGCTGCGCTCTGTGGCGATGAGAAAGAGGAGAAACACGTTTCCCATGAGGGCCACCACATACATCAGGCAGAAGGGGACAGAGATCCAGATGTGAGATGCCTCCATGCCGGGGATTCCCGTCAGGACGAAGGTTATGGGGTCAAAGCGGCTGTCGTTAAGGGCGGCCATGGGGGAGCACTTTGTCCAGTGGGGTCCTGGTTCCTGGACAGAGAAGACAAAGCGAGAATCCGAGCATCAGCCCTCTTTGCAAGCCATCTCAGGAGGTTCTGAACAAGAGGACCCAGGCCAGGGCTGGTGAGAAGAACGAGGAGGAGGAGGAGGAGGAGGAGGGATGCCCTCCTCACATGATTTAGAGCAGAAGGAAGAAGTGCCTCCAAGTTCTCCACCTCTTCAGTTTTGAGTTTGGGTTCTCCTTTCAGCTGCTTCTCTTTCTCAGGGCTCTGGAACGGAGCTCCCCTCCTGGAAGGGCCCAGTCCAGGTCCCATCCTGGACCCCCACTGGTGGGAGTTTCAACCCCCCCTTTGGCTCAGGACCACAGCCGAGCCTCAGAGGCCTGGTGGACTCACCAACGAGATGTCTGGCCCAGCACCTGGGCTGCACCCACCTCTTTGCCTCCCAGCCCAACCAACCTCAGGACCCATATTGCACTGCTCTCTCCTACCTGTGCACGACTCTTGCTCCACCCTTCCTGGCCGGCTCCACCACCTCCAGCGCACACCGGAGGACTCCGCTTGCCGGCCTGGGCTCCCGCTGGGCTGCCGGCGCTGTCTTTCCCGAGCGCCTGGATGCCGCCTTCCTTCTTTCTCCTTCACGGCAGCAACTGGATGTCCGGCTGAGGTTTTGCTATTGCTTTCTCGCGCCAAAGTCCCCCTGTGGTCAGGACACGTCTCTAAAAATGGACATTCAGACCCTCCTGCGCACCTTGCAAGGTAGCTAGCCCAGAACCCACCCCAGCCTGCTAAGAAGCGGAGGTGGGCGGCATCAGGCTAGGTGCCAAGGGAGGGAAGCCCGTCCTGCGGGCTGGGAGGCAGAAAGGCTGAGCGAGGAGGAATTCCACTCAGCTTCAGAAATGATTAACCGGGTCGTTAGCGGGGCGCCCCGGGCTGTTCCAGACGCGTTTGGGAAACTCGTCCGGGGACAGTCCCCCCGCCTCTCCCCCCCCCCCCCGGCCAGGCTTAAGAGGCCCTGCCAAAGTAAACCCACTCCATCTTCCCCGTGACTCCCGCTTTAAGACGCGTGCTTGGCTAGGTTTAGCAGATTGTGGGGACGCAGCCTCAGCTGCTTCCCTGACCCGGGGAAGCGGGAAAGGGAGCCGGGGGGGGGGCGGAAACCCGACGCCTGCAACGTCGCCCAGCGGCTGGAGACCCCCCCCCCCCGGGATGTCAGCCGGCTCTGGATCCCGGCTAGCGGGTAAGGGGTCCTTCGCCAAAAGCGCCTTTCCCTTCCCGCCAAGACCCCCGACTCCCCCCCCCCTCTTCTCGCACAGATTCCCGCCCAAGGCGGCAGGCCAGCCGTCCGGTGACCGCGCAGCCGGCGAGGGTCTCTGCCCGGCGGAAGGGTCGCCTCCCCCGACCCTCCGGCCAGGCTCTGGACCCGACTCCCGGGCCCGCCCCGTCTGCGCAAAGCTCCGCCGCCCGGAGCCGCCCGGGCTCTTCCCGGCTTCCAGCTGCGACGCGCCGGACGCGGCGGGGCTCCCACCCCCACCCGGGCCGAGGGAGCCCCCGGCGGGCCCGCTCCCGGGGCGCCGCCTCGGCCGTCCCGTCGGCCAGGGGAGGCGGGGTCCCGGGCGCTGCGGGCTCACCGGTGGCTGCGGGGCGCCTCCGGGCCTCGTGGGCGCTCGGGGCAGCTGCTCGGGAAGGCTCCGGCCGGCTCTGGAGGGGCGCCGCTATTATGCCCGCCGCCGCCCCGCCTGGGAATCCAGCCCGCATCCGCCGAGGAGCCGCAGGGACCGTTAACCATTAACTGGGCTGCTGCGCTGCTTCCCGGCTGCCTTGCGGAGCGTTGTTGGATGCTCCAGTCTTGAGCTCCGCTCCCCGCGGCTAAAAGCCAGGGAGAAGAAAAGCCAGCCCGGGAGAACGAAGCGCTTCTAGCCCAGAGGACCGGAAACGGGGGAGGGGGCGGAGGGGGAGCTTCGAGGCCCTTGGGGCAAAGAGCGTCATAAATGGGCACAGGGGGTCCAAAGCTGGGACAAGGAAACAACCCCCCCCCCCCAGATCACAACCTATTCTGTTGAGTTTTACCTGTGCTACACCTGGAAAAGATTAAGAAACTGGGCTCACTAAACTCTAAGCCCAAGTTAACATTACCTAACTCAACAGTGTCGCTTGACAGTGACATGGGTAGTCAATCAATCAATCAATCAATCAATCAAACTGCTCACCTATAGCAGTGTTTCCCAAACTCGACCATTTTAAGGCATGAGGACTTCAACTCCCAGAATTCCACAGCCAGCAACGCTGGCTGTGGAATTCTGGGAGTTGAAGTCCACATGCCTTAAAATGGTCAAGTTTGGGAAACACTGACCTATAGTATCACTTGACAGTGAGATGGGGTGGCATATCTATAAATAAACAAACAAACTGTTCACCTAACATGGGATATCCCAGCCAATAAACCACAAGACAGGGGGGTCCTTGGTGCTCTCTGTGCTTGGTGGTTTTCGTGCAGATGTTTTATTACTAAATTACCATCAGCACTGATGATGTCACCTAGCTGGGTCATGAAACCTCTGCAAGAAAATCACCAAACTCACAGAGCACCAAGGACCCCTCACTTCAGCCCTGGGCTGCAAATAGTCACTTCTATAAAGCGAAGGATGCTGTCTGCGCCAAATTTGTAGGCAAAGATGGAGACATCAAAGAGGATGCTGAGGATAAGAAGGAGGGTGAGGAGGAAGATGTAGCTGGTTCAGCTACAAAACGGGAAAAAAAAAAAAAGCTTTGGCCACTTCAAAAGCACCTGAGGTGTTTTTCTTATTCGATGGAATTCATGTCAGAAGTTAAACTCAGAATCGCTCAAACCGCAAGATGAATGGCAAATAAATCTGATAATAATAATATGGGCATCTGCCACATAACACCCCAGCAATTGTCGATAAGAGAAAAAAAAGTCTGGATAATGGACGTGGCAGTGCCTGGAGACAGCAGAACAGAAGAACTGGAGAAGATAACAAAATATAAAAACCAGAAATAGAATGACTGGGGCAAAAGAAAGCAAGGGTAGCCCCAAATGTGATAGCCACCTTGGAAAAGTCTCTGAAAAAAAAAAGACTTTTCTTTTGGGTTTAATGAATAAAGAACCTGGGTAAAAAATCTGGAACTTTGATGTTGTATACTGTATGTTGACAGCAGCAGGAATATTCTGCACAAAACATGGAAGGACACTTTGATTCCCACAATGGACAAACAGCTACAAAAGTTGATGGAGTTAGCAGAGATAATCAAACTGCTTTGAGTAAAGAAAAGAAGACATTTTATTTCTACTTGGAAGGCACTTTTGAACATTGGGCTTGAGGTGGGGAAAAAAATGAAACTTTGATTTTGGGTTTTGCTAATTAGATGGGTTCGTTGTTATAGAAAGTATATATTATCCTATAAAAGTAAAGAGTTGAGGTTCAGAAGGTCATAGAATAATAGAGTTGGAAGGGACCTTGGAGGTCTTCTAGTCCACCCCCCTATTCAGTCCACCCCCCCTGTACCATTTATATTTTATGTTTTATGTTACTGCCTTATTCTACTGCACCAAAAGGACTCCTAAGTCCCTACTTTCTTTTTCCCCTTTACACTTTTCTCTCTTCCCCTTTTCTCCCTTATTTTCCCATTACTTTAATTTTTTATTTCTGTACTTTATATTTTGATAAATTAATAAAAATACTGAAGCAGCCGTGATAGGCACCGTGGGTGCAATCCTGAAAAATCTGAATTACCATCAGACAATTGCAAAAGGCAGCTTTACTCAGAACACTTTTCATCCTGCAAGTATACCTTCAACACATCAAACAACACATCTGCTTATCCCAGATCCTTGGAAAGGAGTCAATAGGTGGTTAAAGAAAAAAAAAAAAAGGCCGAATCCAGTCTGAACATCAGGCTGACTGTGCAACAAACCAATAATAATAAACCCACAGCATACCTGTGTCAAAAGCTGAAAAACATTTTTGAAACGGATGCAGACTCTATCAAAGCTGGACTAAAGAATTTGAATCTTCAATAGCCATCCGGTGGTTTTGCACACAGAAATCAAATAAAAAGTAAATATTCTTAGAAATGTTACAATCATAGAACAGCAGAATTGGAAGGGACCTTGGAGGTCTTCCAGTCCAACCCCCCTACTCAAGCAGCAGAAAATATATTGTTTCAGACAAGTGACTGTCCAGTCTCTTCTCTGTTTTAATTTTATTTAATTACATTTCATTATAAGATCAAAATATAGAAGAAACAAAAGTTAGAAATATAGAAAAAAGAAAAAAAAATCTAAAGAGAGAGAGAGAGAGAGAAAAGACAATGACTTTTGACTTTCTTGGGTGCAATAATTACAAAAATAATACAACATCAACCTTTTGCTTTGTGTCTCATAATATTCCAAGCTGTTTCTATCATTACGAAACCCTTCTATTCATCAGGAGATGCTGAATGTCCGAATGTGGTCATGATGGACAGCAGGACACTGGCTGATGCTGGGAAGGAAGAAAACGGGACTCAGGGAACTTCTGATTAATCAGTCTGACAGCACCACTTATGATGGTCCTAAAGCAAATCATAAAACGATCTATCTGTAAGCTTCTTCATCGCATTTTTTGAATGTGCTGATTGCAAACAACAGTCTGGATACACTCATTTTCTCCTTTTAATTGGTCTACTTCTTTAATAGTGTTGGAAATGCTAAAGATGTGATATATCTTAAGCTACATTGGTTAGTGGCACTCTTATAGTGACAGAGAGTTTAAAAGACCATCATGTCACAACCAATGGATCAATACTTGGTTAATCCCAAAAGAAGTTGACTCTGCACCTGTGGAAGGAAGGAAGGAAGGAAGGAAGGAAGGAAGGAAGGGAGGGAGGGAGGGAGGGAGGGAGGGAGGGAGGGAGGGAGGGGGAGGAGGAGGAGGAGGAGGAGGAAGAGGAAAAGGAAGAGGAAGAGGAGGAGAGGATGGGTGGTTTTGAACCTTGGTGGCCGGGGGGGGAGGCCTCTGAAGGGCATCTGCAGAGAGACCCATGGGCTGATGGACATGTTGGGCCAGGGGTTCCAACCAGGACACCACAGCTTATGTTCTTATCTTTTTAATTTATCTCTGCATTATAGAGGTGAACTTGTCATCCGACTATCAGTTGCTCAAGTTCCTTCATGAAATACATTCCTATCCAGCCATAACCCAGAAGCTATCCAGGGTTTTCTCTGCCTTAGCACTTGAATATACCAGTCCAATGGATAGCCAGCGAAGCACCTTCTTCCGTGCAATCATTTTACCTTTTCTGTAATCCCTCTCTTTTAAGCCATGGTTGAAGACATGAATGCTTGACTACAAAACCCAACCAGGTGGGAGATGAGCCTTGCTTGGATGCTGGGAAGGGACGGCACCCACCCACCCCTCTTGACCAGAAAGTGACAAAGGCAGCCTCGAACGCTTGGCCGGAAATCACCAAAAGGATGTCTAGGGAGATTCTTCGTCACCATTCCTCAAGATGAGAAGAATTTTCAAGGAAAAAACCAAGAAAGTCCAGTTGCCTTTTGGAAAAGCGCCTTTGGGATCACCAAGAAGACATTGGTCTACTAAGTTATTTCCTTAGCTTCTTATGACTATAATTTTGCTGTTTGTATCTCATGAATTATGCTGATTGCCTTTATTTAGTATCCTGTTACAATTGATGTTGATTGATTATTTAGTATCCTATGACGATCACTGAGTGCTGTATCTTATGGTTTATGAGGATTGTATTTGATGATGATTATGATCATGATTTATCACTTGCTGTTTATATATACACTGAGCGCTTCTGTAACGGAGGGAAATTCCTTGTGTGTCCAGCCACACTTGGCCAACAAAGTAATCCATTCCATTCCATTATTATTCTATTCTATTCTATTCTATTCTATTCTATTCTATTCTATTCTGTTCTGTTCTGTTCTGTTCTATTTTTTCTATTATATTCTATATTTCTATTCTGTTCTGTTCTATTCTAATCTATTCTATATTTCTATTCTGTTCTGTTCTATTCTATTCTATTCTATATTTCTATTCTGTTCTGTTCTATTCTGTTATTCTAATCTGTTATTCTATGTTATTCTATGTTATTCTGTTATTCTGTTATTCTATCCTATCCTATCCTATCCTATTCTATATTTCTATTCTGTTCTGTTCTATTCTGTTATTCTAATCTGTTATTCTATGTTATTCTATGTTATTCTGTTATCCTATCCTATCCTATCCAATCCTATTCTATATTTCTATTCTATTCTATTCTATTCTATATTTCTATTCTGTTCTGTTCTATTCTGTTATTCTAATCTGTTATTCTATGTTATTCTGTTATTCTATTCTATTCTATCCTATCCTATCCTATCCTATCCTATCCTATCCTATCCTATCCTATCCTATCCTATCCTACTCTACTCTACTCTATTCTATTCCATTTCCATTTCCATTTCCTATTCCATTCTATTGGGTTTCCAAGACCTGAGAAGATAACACAGAGAGGGGGAATTATACTTCATCTCTTCCACTATTTCCTTTCCTTTAAAATTCCATGGAGCCAAAAAAGGAGCCCTTGTTTGCCAATGTTTTGCAGCAACACTTCCAGGGACTAGCAGAAAAAGCTGGACCCACCTGGCGCCTGATGAGATGGCTTCCAGTCCCTCCGTGTGCCCAAGTGCTCCTCCTGCTGATGGGCCGGGCCGGTCTGCGGAGGCTCCTGCCCTCCCTAGGCCGTCTTCAGGGCCAGCAGTCCTGCAGGGAGACCTCTTCAATTCCTCCCAGAGGGGAAGGCATAAAAAAGCAACAAGGAGCCAGAGAAGGGCTGAGCTTGAATTCCAGGCAAGGATTTCGCTTGGTCTGTTCAAGACTATAAAGATTCCTTTCTCGTGGAAGGTGCAACACTGGTGCTGCACAAGAGGGGCCCCGGAGGATGCACAACACCCCACTCTAAAGGACCCCACAAAGCTGGCTCTGCCTGGTGAGTGTTCAAGCCCAAGAGATGCATCCTGTTTGCTAGCATAGATGGCTTCCTAGTTCAGTTCCTAATTTGGTAGCCAACATTTCTCTGCTTTTTCAGGGGAGCGAAGGCAAAAAATATGAGAACGGTTGCAGGAATTGGGTATGTCTGGTTTAATGAAAGGAAGGACTAGGGGAGACATGATAGCACTGATCCAACATTTGAGGGGCTGCCGCAAGAAGAGGGGGTCCACCTGTTCTCCAAAACACCTGAAGGCAGGACAAGAAGAAACAGATGGAAACTAATCACGGAGAGAAGCAACCTGGAACTAAGGAGGAATTTCCTGACAGTGAGAGCAATCAAATAGTGGAACGGTTTCCCTCCACAAGTTGTGGGTGGTCCATCACTGGAGGTTTTTAAGGAGAGACTGGACAGCCATTTGTCTGGAATGGGGTAGGGTTTCCTGCCTGAGCAGGGGATTGGACTAGGACAGTGTTTCCCAAACTTGACAATTTTAAGGCACGTGGACTTCAACTCCCAGAATTCCACAGCCAGCATTGCTGGCTGTGGAATTCTGGGAGTTGAAGTCCTCATGCCTTAAAATTGTCAAGTTTGGGAAACACTGGACTAGGACAAGAAGCAACAGATGGAAACTCACCAAGGAGAGAAGCAACCTAGAACTAAGGAGAAATTTCCTGACAGAACAATTAACCAGTGGAACCACCTGCCTCCAGAAGCGGTGAATGAAGTTTTTAAGAAGAGACCGGACAGCCATTTGTCCGAAATGGTGTAGGGTGTCCTGCCTGAGCAGGGGGTTGGACTAGAGGACCTCCAAGGTCCCTTCCAACATTGTTGTTTTGGTTGTTGTTGTTGTGGTTGTTGTGGTGGTGGTTGTTATTATTATTATTATTATTATTAACCTCCAAGGTCCTTCTGACTCTGTTATTCTGTTATTCTATAATTCATTTGTAAAGTTGCCCCTTTAATCCCCACCCCCACCACTGGGAGTCCAGGGATGCCCACCTCTTTTGAAGTTCTTCCAAGTTTCTGCCAGAGAGGATTTATTATTATTATTTTTCTTGCAAGTCCATAATTCAGCTGAGAGCAAGGCCTGCATAGTATCACAGGAGGCTGAGAACGAGGAGGCTTCCTGCAGAAGAGTCCTTGGCGCTCTCTGAGCTTGGTTGCTTTCTTGCAGGCACTGCTTGTTCCCAGCGACAGATGACAAGGGGTGATGTTACCTGTTCTGGGTAATGAGACGCCTTCAAGAAAACAACTAAGCTCAGAGAACATGCAGGACCTCACGGTCCTCCTTCTTCTCTTTTTGGTTCTCCTCCCCTTCTCCTCCACTCTGCAAATCCCACTCCTTTCTCACACTGATGTTACCTAGTTTGATAATGAAACATCTGCAAGAAAACAGCCAAGTTCAGAGAGGGAATTCACTTTAACCCTGAGCTACACTTGGTTTCCTGCAGCTCTGAGCACTTCCTCATCTAAAAGCTCACTTTCTCGACTAAAAGCCACACACAACCAGGCACCGCATAAATACTACGCATAGCCCAGTGCAGACATCCTGGAGAGAGAGAAGTTCCCTGAGAATGGGCTCCAATGCAAGTCTGAAAGCTTGGAAGATTAAGCCTCTGGTCCCAATGTCCAACTTCATCACCTATCTCAGAGGCAGGCAAACTTAGCTCTTTTATGACTCGTGGACTTCAACTCCCAGAATCCCTGAGCCAGCCATGCTTAGGGCAAAGGGAGAGGTTTCCAAACTGAGCCATGCTGGCTCAGGAATTCTGGGAGTTGAAGTCCACGAGTCATGAAGGGGCCAAAGTTTCCTCCATGCTGGCTCAGGAATTCTGGGAGTTGAAGTCCCCGAGTCATGAAGGGGCCAAAGTTCCCCCATGCTGGCTCAGGAATTCTGGGAGTTGAAGTCCACGTCATAAAAGAGCCAAGGTTGCCTACCCCTGACCTATCGCTTTCTCTGCTTTGATTGACAGTTGCTATGATCTTCAGTGAAGCTGGTGGCCAAAGTGATCAGTGCATCTTGGATGACCTAAATAATGGGCAATTTGACCTACTCCTGGTCCTTTACCTTTGTGTTGCAAGGCATCCCGGGGCTGGAGGCGTACCACATGTGGTTCTCAGTGGCAGTTTGCACTAGCTATGTGATCATCGTTGCTGGAAACTCTATCATTTTACTAGTCATAGTATCCGAGCCGGCCCTCCACAGGCCCATGTACTACTTCCTCTGCATGCTATCTACTATCGACTTAGCAGCCACCACCTCTACGTTGCCCAAGATGCTTTCCATCTTCTGGTTCCAGGCTAGGGAGATCCGGTTTAATACCTGTTTGGCCCAGATGTTCTTCATCCATGCTTTGTGTATGATGGAGTCAGCAGTGCTGCTGTCCATGGCTGTAGATCGTTACGTGGCCATCTGCTTCCCTCTCAGATACAATTCTTTCTTCACTGGCTCCCTAGTTGCTAAGATGGAGATAGCAGCTGTTGTCAGGGGAACCCTGCTGATGTGCCCCTGTCCTTTCCTCATCAAAAGACTCTCCTTCTGTTGGACAAATGTTATCCATCATACTTACTGTGAGCACATGGCTGTGGTGAGGTTGGCCTGTGGAGACACCAGGATCAACAGTGCTTATGGGCTAAGTGTGGCCTTGATTGTCATTGGAGGGGACCTTCTGTGCATTGGCCTCTCCTACTTCTTCATTGTCCGTGCAGTGCTACGGCTTTCCTCCAGTGAGGCCAGGTTCAAGGCCTTTGGCACTTGTGGTTCCCACCTCTGTGTCCTCACAATATCTTACACCCCAGCACTCTTCTCGTTTTTCACCTACCGCTTTGGCCACAATGTGGCTCCCCGTGTTCATATCCTGCTGGCTAACCTTTACCTCCTCGTTCCTCCTATGTTGAATCCCATTGTATATGGAGTGAGAACCAAGGAGATTCGGGAACAGGTCATTAGAGTGTTCCTCCCAAACAAGGTCATTGTCAAACCCAGATCTGTTTGAATCTGCTCCCCAAATCTCCTTCTCCCTCTTCTCAGCTGCCGCTAGACAGTGTGATCGGTTGGGGATCCTGAAATGTTTGGCACCAGGTTTTCGGTGGCCTTCCTTTTTCTTTGACCATCAAGTGGTACCCAGTTGATTGCGGTCTTTGGTGGATGCTGGTCATTCATGAAGACTTGTCTGCTTAGTGTCCTGTGTCCTTAGCCAAAGGTTCTGTTTTGGTTTCTTTCTAGTTCTCCCTTCGAGGACAATAGATGCTTCCTCATTTTCATCTAACCGTGGCAGGGAACAAAACAAATCTCGGCAATTACTGAGTCACAGTATAGGACAAACCTTGATTGGTGGAAGGAGACCTCTACCCTGGCCACTGGCATTTACGTTGTTAACCTTTTCAGATCGCTCCTAGAGATTTATAGTTCTGTGCGAGGTATTAGACCCCTAAGAGGATCTTCTGGAAGTTCCTTTCTGTCCCCCTCCAAGTTTGCTGCTCTTACTCTTAATTAATTGAAGCCTTTCTTCTTGCTGTTGTGTCAAGGTAATGATTTAGAAGCTAACCGGCTTGTACAATGTGAAATGAACAATGCAATGTTAAGAATGACTCACTGGGAGTCTGTATCCCTTTAAGAGCTTGAGTATAAAAGGGAAGGCCTTGCTGGAGTCTTTCTCTCTCGTCCGTTTGACTGCTGTAACTGCTGCGTATTGGAGTAAACTGAATCACCACATGTATGTATTTTGTTTCTAGTGTATAATTGTAGCTATTGTAATATAAACCACCATTTAATTACAAACCACTGTTTACTGTATTTACTTCTGGGTTACCTCAGTGCAATAAGACTGTGCATGCTCTGACTTGTTGCTTTAACATCTCTGTATTACTAGTATATGGAACTGGCTTCATGGGATTGTTAATTAGTCACATTGTCAAATAAACCAAAATCAGATTCCTGATTCCTATTAAAATAGTCTCTTCTAAGGCAGAATCTGCCCCTCCACCGTTTCCATGTTTGTTCAATGTGGGACAGACCTGCTGCCCATGGGTCATACCTGGCCCTTTAGCTGTCTTTGTCCAGCCCACAGGTCATAGCCCAGCCCTTCAGGTAGTCCTGTCCAGCCCATGCTAGAGAAGAGGGGCAGTGGTCCCCACAACAGTCCCAGTTTCTCATGTAGCCCCTTAGGAAATTAATTTCCCACCCCTGATGTAGGTACTGGTATGAAGTCTGTGGTAGCCCGATGGCCAAGATTCCCTATTACAGCATGTTGTTCACCAAATGCTTGTTTCCTTTTCATTGAGTGATTCATGTAACTTATGTGATTGCCACTTTGTGTTGGATAGACCACCTCTTTTGTGGATATCCCATTGTTGCAACCATGTGGTCATAAGATTTTTAAGTCAGTGGGCTCCAACACACAAGAGAGTCGAGCCAAAACAACAACACAGGTCTGTAGGCAACACAAGCATTTACAGGCTACTACTCACCACTCTTGACATCGTTCCCCACTGCTACTGCACCACAAACTACTACCCCTTGTGAGTCCTACCAGTGGAGGACAGTATCATTTTCTGGCTGCTTTATTATCACAGAGTGATGCAGAACTTCTCTCTCACAAATGACCAACACCCCAGCTGTCTCTCAACACATCTTTTGCAACCAATGTGGCAGTGCTGGCTGCAGAGAGAGTTTAAAGCAGTAGGGCAACTGCTGCGCAGGTGTTGGTGTCAGGTCTACCCCAAAGTAGACACTTGGGAAAGAGAAAGGAGAAAAGGCTGCCTAGTACTCATTAGAAGCACACTACTGGAATTTTTCTTCAATGGGATTGTCCAATGTATTTTACCAAGAAACATAGATAGGGCAGCCTAGAAACGTCAGTGCCCTCCTAACCATACCCAAGCACTCTGAATATATTAGTGATGTCCATTTTCCTCTCCGAGTTCATGGTGACCTAACCCTGACCCTAAGTGGAATTTTCCTCCAATGGGATTTTCCCATGTATTTTACCAGGAAACATAAATAGGGCAGCCTAGAAAAGTCAGTGCCCTCCTAACCATACCCAAGCGCTCCGAATTTGTTGGCGATGTCCATTTTCCTCTCCAAGTTCATGGTGACCTAACCCTGACCCTAAGTGGAATTTTCCTCCAATGGGATTTTCCCATGTATTTTACCAGGAAACATAAATAGGGCAGCCTAGAAAAGTCAGTGCCCTCCTAACCATACCCAAGCGCTCCGAATTTGTTGGCGATGTCCATTTTCCTCTCCAAGTTCATGGTGACCTAACCCTAACCCTAAGTGGAATTTTCCTCTATTGGGATTTTCCCATGTACTTTACCAGGAAACATAGATAGGGCAGCCTAGAAGAGTCAGTGCCTCCTAACCATATCCAAGCACTCTGAATATGTTCGTGATGTCCATTTTCCTCTCTGAGTTCATGGTGACCTAACCCTAACCCTAACTGGAATTTTCCTCCAATGGGGTTTTCCCATGAATTTTACCAGGAAACATAGATAGGGCTGCCTAGAAAGGTCAGTGCCCTCCTAACCATACCCAAGCACTCCAAATATGTTTGTGATGTCCATTTTGCTCTATGAGTTCATGGTGACCTAACCCTAACCCTAAGTGGAATTTTCCTCCAATGGGATTTCCCCATGTATTTTCCCAGGAAATATAGATAGGGCTGCCTAGAAAGGTCAGTGCCCTCCTAACCATACCCAAGCACTCCGAGTTTGTTGGCGATGTCCATTTTGCTCTATGAGTTCATGGTGACCTAATCCTAACCCTAAGTGGAATTTTCCTCCAATGGGATTTTCATGTATTTTACCAGGAAGATAGATAGGATAGCCAAGAAAGGGCAGTGCCCTCCTAACCATACCCAAGCACTCCGAGTTTGTTGGCGATGTCCATTTTGCTCTATGAGTTCATAGTGACCTAACCTAACCCTAAGTGGAATTTTCCTCCATATGTATAGGGATAGCCAAGAAAGGGCAGTGCCCTCCTAACCATACCCAAGCACTCCGAGTTTGTTGGCGATGTCCATTTTGCTCTATGAGTTCATAGTGACCTAACCCTAACCCTAAGTGGAATTTTCCTCCAATGGGATTTCCCCATGTATTTTCCCAGGAAATATAGATAGGGCTGCCTAGAAAAGTAAGTGCCCTCCTAACCATACCCAAGCTCTCTGAATTTGTTGGCGATGTCCATTTTGCTCTATTATGTGCGAATTTTCCTCCAATGATTTCCCATGTTTTACCAGGAAACATAGATAGGGCAGCCTAGAAAAGTCAGTGCCCTCCTAACCATACCCAGCTCTCTGAATTTGGTTGGCGATGTCCATTTTGCTCTATGAGTTCATTGTGACCTATCCGTAACCCTAAGTGGAATTTTCCTCCAATGGGATTTTCCCATATATTTTACCATGAAACATAGATAGGGCAGCCTAGAAAGGTCAGTGCCCTCCTAACCATACCCAAGCTCTCTGAATTTGTTGGCAATGTCCATTTTTCTCTCTGAGTTCATTGTGACCTATCCGTAACCCTAAGTGGAATTTTCCTCCAATGGGATTTTCCCATGTATTTTACCAGGAAACATAGATAGGGCAGCCTAGAAAAGTCAGTGACCTCCTAACTCACAGGTCGGCAACCTGCGGCTCCGGAGCCGCATGCGGCTCTTTGAGCCTTCCCCTGTGGCTCCCTGCCTCCTCTGCCTTTGCAGAGAGAGACAGAGACAGAGAGAGGAATTGCGCTTCCCTGCTTCTCTCTCTCTCTCTCTCTCTCTCTCTCTCTCTCTCTCTCTCTCTCTCTCTCTCTCTCTCTGTATGTGTGTGTGTGTATGTGTGTATGTGTAAAAGAGAGTGCACTCACAGTGTTCTCCGAGGAGCTGAAAAGCTTACTGGGCAGAGCCCCTCCCTTTGCTGCATCTCTGCAGGAAGCAGGAAGGGCAGGAGAGAGCTAGCTAGCCCAGCTAGGCTGACTCAGGAATTCTGGGAGTTGAAGTCCATGAGTCATAAAAGAGACGAGGTTGCCTACCCCGGAGGTTGTTGGACAACAGCTTGAAGCTTGCCAGGTGAGCAGCAGATAGGAGGGGGGGGGAGAAAGAGAGAGAGAGGGAGAGAGAGAGAGTGGGGGAAGAGGAGTGGCAGATCAAGGGCAGAGAGAGAGGGAGGGAGAGAGAGACCCTTTTGACATCTAAAATGAAGATAACACTGCATATATCCTTTTTTTTACCTGTGTGTGTATGTAATTTTATTCTCTTAAAGCATTCTCTTGGTGATCATTGTTTTAATAGTATGGATATTCCCAAGAGTCATATTTTACTTTTATTTTTAATGTGTATTATTTTTACCTTTATTATAGGTGTGTGCGTGTGTGTGTGTATATATATATATATACACATATACACATACACATACACACACACACACACCCCTATAATAAAGGTAAAAAAGGATATATGCAGTATTATCTTCATTTTAGATATCAAAAGGGTTTTGCGGCTCCCGGTGTTTTGTTTTTGGTGGGAAACGGGTCCAAGTGGCTCTTTGAGTGTTTTGGGTTGCCTACCCCTGTCCTAACTATACCCAAGCACTCCGAGTTTGTTGGCGATGTCCATTTTGCTCTCTGAGGTCATGGTGAAGTAACCCTAACTATAAGTGGAATTTTCCTCCAATGGGATTTTCCCATGTATTTTACCAGGAAACATAGATAGGGCAGCCTAGAAAGGTCAGTGCCCTCCTAACCATACCCAAGCACTCCAAATCTGTTGGCGATGTTCATTTTCCTCTCCGAGTTCATGGTAACCTCACCCTAACCCAGGGGCAAGCAACCCAAAACACTCAAAGAGCCACTGTTTCCCACCGAAAACAAAACACTGGGAGCCACAAAACTCTTTAGATATCTAAAATGAAGATAACACTGCATATAGAGTATCCTTTTTTACCTTTTATATGTGTGTGTGTGTGTGTGTGTGTGTGTGTGTGTTTGTGTGTGTATATATAAAATAAAGGTAAAAAAGGATATATGCAGTGTTATCTTCATTTTAGATGTCAAAACGGTCTCTCTGTCTCTCTTTCCTTTCTCTTTCCTCCCTCCCTCCCTTTCCTCTCTCTCTCCTTTTTTCTTTCCTCTTTTTCCTTTCCCCCTCTCTTTCTCTTTCCTCTCCCTCTTTCTCTCTCTTTCCTTTCCCTTTCCTCTCTTTTTCTCTTTCTTCTCCCCCTTTCTCTCTTTCCTCTCCCCTTCTTTCTTTCCTCTCCCTCTTTCTCTCTCTCTTTCCTCTCTTTTTCTTTCCTCTCCCCCTCTCTTTTTCCTCTCTTTCTCTCTCTCTTTCCTTTCTCTTTCCCTCTTTCCTCTCTCTTCTCTCTTTCTCTCCTCTCTTTTTCTCTCTCCTGTTTCTCTTTCCTCCTCTTTCCACTCTTTCTCTCTCTTTCCTCTTTCTCTGTCTCTCTTTCTCTCTCCTCTCTTTTTTCTTTCCTTTTTCTTTTTCTTCTCCCCCTTTCTTTCTCTCTTTCTCTCTTTCCTCTCTTTCCTCTCCCCCTTTCTCTCTTTCCTCTCCCTCTCTTTCTCTCTCTTTCCTCTTTCTCTCTTTCTCTTTCCTCTTTCTCTTTTTCCTTCCTCTCCTTCTCTCTTTCCTCTTTTTCTCTCTTTCCTCTCTCTCTCTTCTCTCTCTCTCTCTCTCTCTCTCTCTCTCTCTCTCTCTCTCTCTCTGTCTGTAATCCTGATCTGTATGATGTTGTCTTATATGGATGACACAGTAAGATGAAAAGAAGGGGCACAAACTAGATGCATCTTCTGGTAATCTTAGAGGACGGTGTGATGTTTGTAAGCAATATAATCCTGCACTGAAAAGTGAGCTGAGGAACTGACTTAGGTGTTGCTGAACTATAACACCTGCTGATAGGACTCTGGGAGTTGTAGTTCAATCCTATCTGGAGGATCAAAGATTTCCTTCCCAGATATATAGGATGTTTAGAGAAGACATGAGGAAGAACACCAATAAAGCTCCCTTATGCCATTAATCTTTTGTGCAGGCGCACAGTGTCTTAATGGCAATGAAATTACCCTGGATAACTGGGAATTGCCAAAGATTATAGCTAACAATGAATTTAGCAAAGTGCCTGGGGCACAAAACTCCAATTTATACAACGTATGGGCGGGGAGGGGGAACAGGATGAGAGGCAGCGGCTCCTGCAGTAGTGGCACAGCAGGGCCGCCATGTCCTCAGCTGAACGGGTGGGGAGGGGGAGCAGGATGGGAGGCAGCGGCTCCAGTGGAGGTGGTGTGGCCAAGCCGCCTCCCCGCCAAGTCCTCAGCCCAACGGGCGGGGAGGCGGAGCAGGACAGGAGGCAGCGGCTCCGGTTGGTGGTAGCGTGGCCCGGCCGCTGCGTTCTAAGCCAAACGGACAGGGAGGGGGAGCAGGATGGGAGGCAGCAGCTCCGGTTGGTGGTGGCGTGGCCCGGCCGCTGCGTTCTAAGCCAAACGGACAGGGAGGGGGAGCAGGATGGGAGGCAGCAGCTCCGGTGGCGGTGGCACGGCATGGCCACAGCGTCCTCAGCCAAACAGGTGGGGAGGGCAAGCAGGACAGGAGGCAGCGGCTCTGGTGGCGGCAGCGCAGCTTGGCTACCACCCCCGCCGCATCCTCAGCCACTTTGCCATCGTAAGAAGAGGGTGCCAAGGCCAGGTGCACCATGGGCGGCCACGCCGGCAATGGGGAATGCTGCCTTGGGGACGTCCCGGCCTGTTGGTGGCCCCGCCAACTTCACAGCCCAAGGTCTCCTCCTGCAGCACTGCTGCTGCCAGTGGCGGCAGCAGGAAGATGGCAAACTGGTGCGGCTGCCTGCTCGCTGCTGCCTCGCTCAGCTTGACCGGCAGCAGTGGCAGCAGGAGGACAGCCAAGAGGACCATGCAGCAGGTGGGGAAAGGGCTGGGCAGGCTCCAGGGGGAATCCGCTGCCCGTGAGACGGCCGAAAGGTGCAGGCGGAGAGGGAAAGTTCCGGAAGACCCCTGGCGACCCGCCCAACTAACAGAGGCAGCGGTGGAGCAGGGCGAGGGGAGACCCATCTGGCAGGGAAGAGGCAACCCAAGACTGGTCACCCGCGGCTCCTTACCATGGACACTTTTCCAGCAATCCTCCGGGCCACCACGTGTAGTACGAAGAAGGAAAGAGGTTTGTGGGCAGTCCCACAAACCAAAGAAGTTCAACCAATCAGTTCAAACTTCATGAGACGTTTGAATTGATTGGTTGAACTTTTTTAGGCCACTTTTTTTTTCAGACTGCACACGGTGGCTGAGGACAAGGAGCCACAGGAGACGACTGAAAGAGCCACATGCAGCTCCAGAGCCACAGGTTGCTGACCCGTGGGCTGGATGATCTCCAAAGTCCCTTCCAACTTTATTATTATTATTATTATTATTATTATTATTATTATTATTATTATTATTATTATGGGATCACATTATTCTCCAAGGCACCAGAAGGCAGGACAAGAAACTATGGTTAGAAACTTATCAAAGAGAGAAGCAATCTGGAATTAAGGAGAAACTTTCTAACAGTGAGGACAATTAACCAGTGGAACAGCTTGCCACCAGAAATCATGGGCACTCCATCACTGGAGATTTTTAAGAAGAGACTGGACAATCACCTGTCTGAGCTGGTATATGTTCTCCTGCTTGAGAAGGAGGCTGGACTAGAAGACCTCCAAGGTCCCTTCCAGCTATTCTATTCTATTCTATTCTATTCTATTCTATTCTATTCTATTCTATTCTATTCTATTCTATTGTATTCTCTATTCCATATTTTCTATTCTATTCTATTCTATTCTATTCTATTCTATTCTATTCTATTCTATTCTATTCTATTCTATTCTATTCTTATTCCACACATGTAACTATTTAAAATTAAAAAGGAATGCTTATATCTTCCCTTGTTTTTTTTAAAAAAGGTTTTATTGTTTTTATCATATGTGAGATGAGTCTATCTCCCCCCTCTGAAAGAGAAGGGATTAATTTCCCATGTTTCACACACACACACACACACACACACACACACCCATAATCAATGTGCTGCCTCTAATTTATGAATGGCAATTTCAGAACTGCTCAATTGGGGGGCTTACCAGGAAAGAAAACATTATAAATAAAAGAATAATGCAGAGGACCAGAAGACCAACTTCATATTGCATTCCTGCTCCACACACAAACACACTAAAGCACAGGGACACAACTCCACCCCACCCTTCCTATGCCAAGGCAAGGACAACATTTTACTTGTTTATGGACAGTCCATAAGATGGGCATGGAGTGACCCCCCCTGGGGAAAAGTCATCCCAGAAGGGCAGGGAATGCACAGGAAAATGGCGGGGCTTCTCCCGCCTTTAAAGCCACCTAACAATTGTTCAAAGTTATAACAGGCACCCCAAAAGTATATATGACCAAGGAAGGGCGGGATTGAGGGAGGGAGATGCTCCAGCTTAGTGAGTGAGGCCAACAGTAGATATTATTAGATAACTTTTATTGTCATTTTTTACTGTGGGCACAACGGCACACATTAAAAATGAAATTAGCTCTTGCTCTCAAAGTGTGCACATACAAGTAGATAGTCTGGATCAGTGATGGCGAACCTTTTAGAGACCCAGTGCCCAAACTGCAACCCAAAACCCATTTATGCATCGTCGGGTGCTGGGTGGGTGTGGCCCATTGGCTGGGTGTGGCCCATTAGATGGGCGTGGCTGCGGTTATAATGGCAGACTGGGTGGGACTGAAAAGTTCAATCAATCCCAACTTTGCAAGATCTTTTTTTTTTTCATGAGAAGTTGAAATTGACTGATTGGACCTTTTTTTTTTTTTTTTTTTGCACACGGCGGCGGAGGCTAAAGCGGAAAGGTTTTATAAAACCCAGCTGAAGGCCCAAGATTGGGGCGACGGCGCACGTGCCCACAGAGAGGGCTCTGAGTGCCACCTCTGGCACCCGTGCCATAGGTTCACCACCACTGGCCTGGTGGATACCCCTGTAATATATTGGCCACAACTGTTTTAAATCACTTGCTTAATGTCTGACCTACATTGCTGTAATGTTTAACAGTTGCTGTTACTGAAAGCCAGACTGGCTGTCTCCAAGCCGATCATGAGGTTAGGGATGGGAAACTTTTACTTTAAACCTATTGGTTGCCACCTAGAGGCTAACTGTATAAATAGCTGCGCAGCAGCCTTTAGGGCTGCTTCTGTTCTGAGTTAATAAACTTATTTGCTGTTTCAACATTCTGCCTCATTCAATGCCTAAAGAACCGAAGACATAACAACCCCCATCTACTGTATGCTTAGAAGACTCCCATTATGGGACTGCAGCCCTGTTTCCTGGTGACTCCTTCACCTGGGAGACCACCTCAGCTGAGGCTCAGGGCTGGGAGTTGTTGTAAGGCAGAGCGCCAAGACACAGCAACATCCGTCTCCATGGATTCCCCCCTACTCTTGGCTGAAGAATCCCAGGTGCCTCACCTCAACCACCCTCTCCCTTTATAAGGACTTTTAGCAACCCAGGCTACGATCATAGCTAGGAACGAATCCCATCCAAAGAAGAAGAGGGGAAAAGCTGAATTTGTCTCTCGCAAAGCATCTCTTGATTGCCTGGCTTGGAGCAGAGACAAGGCTCTCTTGAAGAAGCCTTAGCCTTGATGCGCTGAAATAGACAACTTCCCACCCATTAAAAACCAGGAAAATGCTTCTGGGTCCATCTCCTGGCCCAAGGAGGAGTCGGGGGAGATCATCAGCATGATATTCAAGAGCGCCAGGCTGAAGAGCTCGCTCGGTTCTTCTGTAGAGGACAATCTTGAGAAGGTTGTGTAATCATTCAGCCTTTTACAGAGAGGCCGAGGTCATTCCATCCTGAAGGGTGGTCATGGAGCATTTCCTGCAGATGTGAGGCAGGTGAGTGAGGGAAGGCAAAGCCTGCACCTCCGGGGGCATAGATGAGGGCATTAGGAGATCAGTGAAGGGCACTGGCAGACGCTCGCTCTAACTCACCATGGCGTCCGTTACCCTCACCAATGGCAGCATGGCAGCGTTTGCCCTGGGAGGCTTTCCTGGACTGGAGACGGCTTACGGCTGGATCGGCATCACCATCTTCTGTGTCTACTTGGTTGCCGTGCTGGGCAACTGCTCCATCCTCTACATCATTTGGGTTGAGCCGAGCTTGCATCAGCCCATGTATCAGTTCCTGGCCATGCTGGCTGCCACCGACTTGGGCCTCTGTGTCGTCACGATGCCCACCGTGCTAGGTGTCCTCTGGTTCCGCCTACGGCAGATTGGCGGTCAAGCCTGCATCGCTCAAGCCTACTTCCTCCACTCCTTTTCCCTCATGGAGTCAGCTGTGCTCTTTGCCATGGCGATGGACCGCTTCGTGGCTATCAGGTACCCTCTGAGATACTCCGAGCTGCTGACCACCACCAGAGTCATACAAATTGGACTTGCCCTCTTTCTGAGGAGCACCCTTGCCTTACTGCCCGCCTTTTATTTCCTGGCAAAGTTCCCCTACTGCCCAGATCCTACATTGTCCCACTCCTACTGTCTGCACCAGGACCTGATTCGCCGGGCTTGCAGTGACACCACTTTCAACAACTTCTATGTCCTGATCCTGATCTTCCTCAGCATGGGCTCTGACCTCCTCTTCATTCTCCTTTCCTACAGCCTAATCCTGAAGGCAGCCCTGGGCATGGCCTCCAGCGGCCGCAGCCCTCTCAAGGCCCTGAGTACCTGTGTCTCCCACCTCTGTGCTGTCCTGGCCTTCTGTATTCCTGCGCTTGGACTGTCCATTATACACCGCTTTGGCCAGCATGCGCCTCCCTTTGTCTATGCCCTCATGGGCAACGTCTACATCTTGTTCCCACCATTTATGAATCCCATAATTTATAGCATGAAAACCAAGGAGATCTCTGGCCGTCTCCTCCAGATGCTCAGGAACCTCTGGAAGATGTAGCCAAAGGGAAGGTGGGAGAACTTAATCTCTGCACAGAAAGACAATGTCACACTCCTTTTGTTGGTCTCCTGCAAGGAAATCCTTTCAATGTTAGACAGCCAGGCAATTAACTAGAACAGTGGTTCTCAACCTTTTTAATGCTGCGACCCCCCAACTGGCCGTAAGTCGAGGACTACTCAACCAGTCGTAATTCAAGGACTACTCAACTGATGCAGCACCGTTTGCAGAATGGGACTTTTGGCGGGCTCAGCAGGGCAGAGACAGCCTGGACAATTCCGATTGGCTTTGGAAAGCCAATAGAATTAGACTCTATTCAAGAGAGTCTAATTGTTTGGCGACCCCCGTGAAATGGTCATTCGACCCCAAATGGGGTCCCGACCCACAGGTTGAGAACCACTGAACTAGAAGGACCTTGTCTCACCAACCTTCCAGGGAGGTTAGTGCCACCACCTTGACACTTCTGATCTTTGAATAGGTTTTGCACAAGGACAGTGACATATTCTGGGACCCCCATTTTTAAGTATTTTCCACAGCTTGAGATGTTCAACAAAATCAGGGGCCTTTTTACCCCCTCTTTGTGGCATCCCTTCAAATATTGGAATACTGCCATGGGAGACATGATAGCAGTGTTCTAATATTTGAGGGGCTGCCACAGAGAAGAGGGGGTCAACGTATTCACCAAAGCCCCTGAAGGCAAGACAAGAATCAACGGATGGAAACCAATCAAGGAGAGAAGCAACCTGGAACTAAGGGGGAATTTCCTGACAGTGAGGACAATTAATCAGTGGAATGACTTGTCTTCAGAAGTTGTGGGTGCTCCATCACTGGAGGTTTTTAAGTTGAATAATCATTTGTCTGAAATGATATAGGTTGGACTAGGACACAGGTCGGCAACCTGCGGCTCCGGAGCCGCATGCGGCTCTTTGAGCCTTCCCCTGTGGCTCCCAGCCTCCTCTGCCTTTGCAGAGAGAGAGACAGAGACAGAGAGAGGAATTGCGCTTCCCTGCTTCTCTCTCTCTCTCTCTCTGTGTGTGTTTTGTGTGTGTGTGTTGTGTGTGTGTGTGTGTTTTGTGTGTGCGTGTGTGTGTGTGTGTGTGTAAAAGAGAGTGCACTCACAGTGTTCTCCGAGGAGCTGAAAAGCTTTCTGGGCGGAGCTCCTCCCTTTGCTGCGTCTCTGCAGGAAGCAGGAAGGGCAGGAGAGAGCTAGCTAGCCCAGCTAGGCTGACTCAGGAATTCTGGGAGTTGAAGTCCATGAGTCATAAAAGAGACGAGGTTGCCTACCCCGGAGGTTGTTGGACAACAGCTTGAAGCTTGCCAGGTGAGCAGCAGATAGGAGGAGGAGAGGGAGAAAGAGAGAGAGAGGGAGAGAGAGAGAGTGGGGGAAGAGGAGTGGCAGATCAAGGGCAGATAGAGAGGGAGGGAGAGAGAGACCCTTTTGACATCTAAAATGAAGATAACACTGCATATATCCTTTTTTTACCTGTGTGTGTATGTAATTTTATTCTCTTAAAGCATTCTCTTGGTGATCATTGTTTTAATAGTATGGATATTCCCAAGAGTCATATTTTACTTTTATTTTTAATGTGTATTATTTTTACTTTTATTATAGGTGTGTGTATGTGTATGTGTGTGTGTGTCTGTGTGTGCGTGTGTGTGTATATATATATATACACATATACACATACACATACACACACACACACACACACATACACACACCTATAATAAAGGTAAAAAAGGATATATGCAGTATTATCTTCATTTTAGATATCAAAAGGGTTTTGCGGCTCCCGGTGTTTTGTTTTTGGTGGGAAACGGGTCCAAGTGGCTCTTTGAGTGTTTTGGGTTGCCTACCCCTGGACTAGGAGATCTCCATGGTCCCTTCCAACTCTGTTATTCTGAAGGTAGCATATTAATTTCTTTTTGATAATTTTTCCTTTCTTAGTTAGCCTACCTGCCTCTGCAGACACGTTTCATTTTTTTAGCCTTTTCTAAAACCATCCTGAACATCTCTCTTCTCATGCCAGGCTCTAATTTGCATTGGATGATTCAAAGCATTATTTTGTTTACCTTTGGACCAGGTAAGGGCGCTAGGGCCCAGAGCTCAGAACTGCCACAGAGGTTACAGAGAAAAAGTCTCTGTAAAAGATCAGACCAGGATCAGAGAACTGCCAGATATAAGGTTAACCGTTAATTGCCATGCAGATCTATTGGTTGTTGGGTCACTGTTGACCCAACAACCAAATAGATCAATGAAAGGCAGACAGGATGTGCAAAGAAATATATGCGGGAGGCTTTTGGCAAAGAATGAGAGGACAAGCCATGGAAGACTTCAATCTAGGGACGCAACTGTCACGTACAGAGTGGTCTTCTCTTCCCCAATCCTTGAAATCCCTGGGCCTGGTGTAGCAGGGCAAGTGAATATCTGGGATGCTCCCTTGGATGCCGGCTCAGACAGTAAGGAAGAGCTGGCTCCAGGGACATCTGAGAATGAGGTTGAGGAGCATCAGGGGGACCTGGGCAGTCAAGGCGAGGCTATGCCAGGAATATCTGGGGAATCCATGAGCGAGGACCTGGATGAAAACACCTGTGCAGCGGGCTGACCAGAGAAGAGAGGCAGCTGCAGCTGGTCAGTGGCAAAGAGCAGGAGTTGCTCCCCCTGCTGGATACTAGGATGTGCACAACCAAGCAGAGGAAGGCATAACAGAGGTTGACGAGGCTACTCGCAAGGAGGCAGCCTCGCCCCTCCTAATGAAGCGCATCATTTGGTAGCTATTTAGCTCGGCCTCTGTAGTCTGAGGGGTTTCAGAGACAACTGTTCACAATTCCATTGCTATGCGTGCTCTGGATTTCCTTGAAGACATTGACTTCTTCATGCTTTGGCTTCTTGGACTTCGTGCTGACTTCTTTGCACTTTTGACCTATGGACTTGTATGGACTTTGCTCTGTTGTGCCCCTTTGGACTCCGTGCGGACCTCCTCGTGCTTTGGACTTGTATGGACATTGTTGTGCCGTGTTGACTTCCCCTTGACTTGAACTAGTTATTGACTTTGTTGGGCTTGGCTTCTATTGACTTTGTTGGGAACAGATCCCTGAAAAGCTGCCCTTGCAGTTGAACCCTGGGGAATGAAAAAAGGGGCTCTGGGAAATGGAATAAACACATGAAACCTTGTGTGTTTGTGTATGTGCGTGGACTGGGATGCCTCTTTATGCACCTTTGCTCACATGGTACTGAAGCCATTGTAAATAATAACGCTTGTGTAGGTTAACAGAGACTCGCTGTGTGTTCCCTGGACACCTCATCATTGCTTCAGATCCCGAAATTTTTCATCTCCACTGAAAGGATGCGATTCTAAATGGAGGAATTTGTAGCAGATTACCTGTTTCCTCAACGTCTTCCACCCTGGCAGAGCTTTGAACGCCTTTGCAGCCTTGGCTGGCAAAGGCCTTAAAAATTCAGGGAGATATCCAGAGCCACGTCTGCCTCAAAAGCTGCCCACATTGAACTGCATAGCACAAACACCAGGAGCCGATCACGAGAAACATTTTATGGCAGGGGTGTCAAACCACCAGCCCCCAGGCCGGATGCCTCATAGCAAAACTGCGCCCACCCAATGGCAAAAAAGTCACGAAATGTCACGACACGTCACACGACGTTGCAAGTTTGACACTCGTTCTATGGCATTTCCCTTGAGAGGGGTGCGAGATACTGCGGATCAGGGATGGCCAATCTTGGCAATTTCCTAAGATTTGTGGACTTCAATTCCCAGGATTCCCCAGCCAGCACGGTTGAGGCTCTCATTAATTTGTATTCTCATAAATTTGTATCATTTTATGAGATGTTGTAAATTGGGAGCCATTTACCCCACTTAAATGTCTGCATCACTTAACCACTGATTTCCCTGTGCCTGGGGACTTCCTGTACTGTCTTTGTAGTCGTGCTCCATTTCTGCAGTTACATCCCAATGGCTTCCCTGAGCTCACCAGGTGCATGAGGCATTATGTCCATAAGTACCTGGCTGCTATATCCTTATCACCTGCCTATTCGAATTCACCACTCTTTAGCTCACTTTTCCCTCCAGGGTGTCCCTAATTCTGACTTGTGCTTCAGGATAATGTACCCGGGTCTCTGGTTTAATAATAATAATGTTGGAAGAGACCTTGGAGGTCATCTAGTTCAACCCCCTGCTCAGGCAGGAAACCCTATGCCATTTCTGACAAATGGCTGTCCAGTTTCTTCTTAAAAACTTCCAGTGTTGGAGCATTCACCGCTTCTGGAGGCAGGTTATTCCACTGGTTAATTGTTCTCACTATCAGGAAGTTTCTCCTTAGTTCTAGGTTGCTTCTCTCCTTGATTGGTTTCCACCCGTTCCTTCTTGTCCTGCCTTCAGGCGCTTTGGAGAATAGCTTGACTGCCTCTTCTTTGGGGCAGCCCCTGAGATATTGGAACCCTGCTATCCTGTCCCCCCTCGTCCTTCTTTTCATTAAACTGGACATCCCCAATTCCAGCAACCTTTCCTTATATGCTTTAGCCTCCAGTCCCCTGATCATCTTTGTTGCTCTTCTCTGTACCCAGGAAGAGTCTCCTACAATAATAGATGAGAGTGAATTGGGTATGGCTAGTCTAGAGAAGGACCAGGGGAGGACATGACAGCAGTATTCCAGTATTTGAGGGGCTGCCACAAAAAGGGAGGTCAATCTATTTTTCAAAGCACCAGTAGGCAAGACAAAAAACAATGGAGAGAAGAAAACTGGAATTAAGGAGAAAATGCCTGACAGTGGGAATAATTCATCAGTGGAACGGAAGTTGCCTTCAGAAGTTGTGGGTGCTCCATCGCTGGAGGTTTTTAAGAGGTTGGACAGCCATTTATCTGGAATAATACAAGATGTCCTTTTTGTGCAGGGGGTTGGACTAGAAGACCTCTCCAAGGTCCCTTCCCACACGGTTATTCTTAGGTTTTCCAGTCCTTCTTCCCAAGGCCCTCTCCATCTCTCTTGCGCAGAAAACGCAAAGAGATGCGCAGCACCACTGCTGCTTCTCCCTCCCGGGGCTTGCCAAGGGGTGTTTTTGCACCCATTTCTCAGCCGTTCCCAATGTTGAGAAATGCACCTGCCATGAACGAAAAGACAGTGCCCAAATCACACCAGCTTGTTTATTGATACAAAGAAAAGTACAAATAGCCTTTAAAACTTCTGGAACTGTTTTTTGGTGCCAGCAGCCTTCGTCACCTTGAGGACGTTGAACCGGACAGTCTTGCTGAGGGGGCGGCACTCTCCCACTGTCACGATATCCCCAATCTGCACATCCCTGTAAGGGGGGGGGGGAGGAAAGAGGAGGAAAGAGCTTTAGACTGGCCAACAAGAAATGGAACCAGGCTTGCAGGCCTGAAGCTGCCCAATCTGAAAGTAGCTGCCTGCAAGTCAAATGCAGACCATGGTGTGGAAGAGGCTGGGCTGGAAGGTGGGGTTAAAGGTGTCATCAGTTTAGACTCATTGCATTGTCACAAAAGAACTAAGTCCAGCCTCTCTTGAATTCTGTTCATCCTTGATGTTATCCCTTCAGCGGTGACTGACTCTTGGTGATTCTCCGGGCCAGGGGGGTCTCTCCATGATTTCCAATCTTGCACTACTGGAGTCCTTCTGTGCTCTGGCCAGGGTCAGCTTTGATGGTGCCGGCCACTGTGTTCTTTGGTGGCCAGATTTCCTCTTACCGCTAACTCTTCCCAACATAACTGCTATCTACCACCAATTTAACTCAACTAATCCTTAGTTGATTAGATTCTTGTAATTAGAGGTAGCAATAATAAAACTCTTCTGTGGTTTGAATTCAACCAAATGCTCCTCGTTATTTGTGCTTGGGAAGCGAGAAGGGAATCTGGTAAGGAATCACGCAACATGAGCCACCTTCCTCTTCTCTGCAGGCCAACACATGGAAGAAAAGGAGCTGCTGATACGAGAGGATCTCCTGAACATCCTTGACAGCATCAATAGCCCCACCAGCAGCACAAAAAATGAGCTGAAAGGCGGAGGTGCAACTCCAGGACCACATAGCGGAGAGGCAGGGCCAACCCAATGGTGCCTCACCCAAGGCTTGCCAAGTTGCCAGTCATTTGGGGGCCATGACAAGCCAAAGCAAAGCAAGCTCTTTGGTTCAGCGAGTGCCAGAGTGGCAGCTTCAGCAACGCCCCGTTCATAGTAGGGCTCTGCAGACCATCGTGAGATCATACATCATCACCAAAGGGCTTGCTGTAGGCCAGGAGTCCATCCTTGGCAACCTGAAGACTTCCAGAATTCCCCAACCAGCAGATGGCTAGGGAATTCTGGGAGTTGAAGTCCACAAGTCTTCAAGTTATACGGTTGGACACTCCTGCCTTAGGCCATAAAAATACAGGCTGCCATTGCCCCACCTTTCATGGCAAGAAGCGGGGGGGGGGGAAGAGGGGGGGTATACTGCCCAGAGAGATTAATGGTCTATTTTGTTTTATAATGAGCCGAGGTGGCGCAGCAGTGAGAGTGCAGTACTGCAGGCCACTTTAGCTGACTGTGTTCAGCAGGTCAGCGGTTCAAATCTCACCGGCTCAAGGTTGACTCAGCCTTCCATCCTCCCGAGGTAGGTAAAATGAGGACCCAGATTGTTGGGGGCAATGCAAATATATATATACATTGCTTACTGGTGTACACCGCTTAGAGAGTGCTTGCACTTAAAGCGGTATATAAGTCTCATAAATAAATAAAATTAACACATACAAAAGTGTAACCAGTTCTGTCTTTCTGCACGCAGGACAAAAGGAGCATGTTAATTATACCGCCCAACACGGGAGGACTTCCCCATGGCCCTTGTGCAATGTAAAGAGGGGAGGTTTGCAAGGATCCCCCCCTGCTCAGCAGCCCCCCCCCACTGCCAGCCTCCAGGGAGCCTCTCCGGGCGTTTCCTCACCTGAAGCAGGGAGAGAGGTGCACAGACATGTTCTTGTGCCGCTTCTCAAAGCGGTTGTACTTGCGGATGTAGTGCAGGTAGTCCCTGCGGATGACGATGGTGCGCTGCATCTTCATCTTGGTGACCACCCCTGGGGAGAGGGAGGGAACCCTGATGAAGGCCAGGAGCCCCTCAGGGGGCCCATCCTGGGCTTCAGGGCGAGAAAGGAAGGGCCCGAGGCCAGGCTGGGCATCAGTCGTGCCAAAGGGCAGCGTCGACAGCACCCACTTTCAGGGGCTCCGCAGACCATCGTGAGAAAAACATCCCTTGCCACAGCAACCTCATGGGGGGGGGAGGTAGAAGCACAGGCCAGTGGCCCACCAGGATAGCCCACAGGCACTTTCTCCAAAAGACAACTGGACTTTCTTAGCTAAAAAAAAAAAAGTTTCACTTCTCATCCAAGAAGCTTCTTCGGTTCTAAAGGACTGGCGGCCAATGGAAGGATTTATATTCCTTGCAGTCACCTGGTCGTCAGCACTCTGAGCTGTTGAGGCCACCTGGGGGTCACCTGTAATCTCAGGGTCACCTGAACGAAAGTGCAAATGGGTGAGGAACTGCTGAAATGTCTGCGTTGTAAACAGGAGATGGCTGGTGTACACATTCCCGCCCCCCCTTGAGAGAGGGCTGTTCAATTTTGACCCAGATGACCTCTTTGACCCCCCCCCCTCCTTCAAACCAGGAGTCCTCTCTGTCCAGAATGTGGACATTCCAAAGGGTGGTCTTTGTCTTTCAGGTGCAGATGGGCTGCCCAGTCCTGTCCTGGTGGGTTTCCCCTCATCTGCACCCCAATTCAGGGGACTCTAAAGTTACAGACAAGCCTCAAAGTGGCTTCAAGGACTCTCAGAGAGCTAACAGCTGACCGTCAGGATAACTCTGAAGTAATGCACATACGCATATATGAAGTAATGCACATATATGAAGTAATGCATGCATGTATGTATGTTATATATATATAAAATATATGTGCGCTATTTTGGGGGGGATTGCTAACAAAAAGTTAAAGAGAGACTGGAATAGCTATTTCCAGCTAATTAGCTCTCATCAGCCAGCCATACCCTTCTGAGATTCAAACCTGGGCTGCTTGCACGATATGTTTTGAGTGTTGTTGTTTTTTGATGCACGCTGTCAGCCCAAAAGATTTCTTCCTCCCATATTTGGGCCGAGATGTATCTATATCTATCTATGGTACAAATAAAATACGAACACCAGGAGAGTATAAATATAAAAATATACTTTATTAAAAGCTGCCAAGCTTTCGTTTGGAAACTCCAAACATCATCAGGGCTAAGGAGCCAGTAAACAATGATGACTTAAATGGGTTTTGCTGGCATCTGCAGCCGGCTCATGGATGCCAGCAAAACCCATTTAAGTCATCATTGTTTACTGGCTCCTTAGCCCTGATGATGTTTGGAGTTTCCAAACGAAAGCTTGGCAGCTTTTAGTAAAGTATATTTTTATATTTATACTCTCCTGGTGTTCGTATTTTATTTGTACCATAGACATGCCCAGGAGTCGTATTTTTATGCAAATTTTTCAGCATATCTATCTATCTATCTCCCTCCACACACACACACACACACACACACAAGGGAAAAAAGAAGGATATATCCCTCTCCCTTTTTCCTCGTGGGGGGTGTGTGTAAATATCTATGGAAATTCTCATGGTTGTCCCAGAGGGGCTTTTTCATAGCCATTCCCCCCATTCAACCAGAATGGAAGAAGCTCCTTGGATGAGAAGCGAAACGTTTTCAAAGGGGGGGGGGAAGTCCAGTTGGAAAAGCCCCTTTGGGGAAACCATGAGAAGTTCCATAGACATTTAGCCCATCCCCCCCCCACACACCGAGAGAAGGGAAAAAAGGGATGTAGGGTGGGGGTGGGGGTCCGCCCGCCCTCCCCCCCTTCCCGCCTACCGGAGAGGATGCGGCCCCGGATGGAGACGTTGCCGGTGAAGGGGCACTTCTTGTCGATGTAGGTGCCCTCGATGGCCTGGGGGGGGGAAAGAAACGGAGAGAGAGACGGGCGTCACCCCCAGGGACCCGGGGCCCAGCGCCCCCCCCTCCCGCCTCCCGGCGCCCGCGGGCACCTCCTTGGGGGTCTTGAAGCCCAGGCCGATGTTCTTGTAGTAGCGGGGCAGCTTCTCCTTGCCGGCGTCGCCCAGCAGGACCCGCTTCTTGTTCTGGAAGATGGTGGGCTGCTTCTGGTAGGCCCGCTCCGTCTGCGGGGGAAGCACAGCGCGCTCAGCCGGGCGCCATCACCGCCCACCCGCCGCCCGAGCCCCGGCCCGAGCGGGACCCACCTGCGTGTCCGCCATCTTGGCCGCGCGGAGCGAAAAGAGACCCCGCGCGCGGCACGCCGGGAGGTTTATCCTCGCTGGGGGAAGTGACGCGTACGACCCACCTCTTCCGCCGGCCGCTCGGCCCTCCATTGGCCTGGAGACGGGAGGGGGCGTTTCCCCAAGGCCTGGGAGGCGTGCCTGGGGAGGGAAGGAGAACCGCCTTCTCCGGGAAGGGCCTGCGGACTTCAACTCCCAGAATTCCTCCGCCAGCTTTGCGGGGAGAGGGGCCCAGAATGGCGGGCCCGGAGGAGGCGCGGGTGGGTGGGGAGAGAGTATCGGGTGAGGAAGAGGGAGGGGACGGGCCGGGGTTGTCCCGCCGGGGTGGGAGACGCAAGTCCCGGGGTCCTGGGCCTGCGCCCCCCGAAGGGGCAGCCGTAGTCCAGCCAATATAAAAGCCCAAGTGAGGAGGAGGAAGAGACGGGCCTTCATCTGAGCAGGAGGCCCTCCCATTGGTCGGAAAGGGGCCAACATGGCTGCGTCTCCTCAAGCTCAGAGGGGAGGATGAAGAGGCGGGCTGGGGGTCTCCCCCTCCTGCGCCTGGGACCCCTTGCGGGGCTCCCCGGCTCCTCTTTGGGCCCAGAGCCCCCCCGGAGGAGGGGGCTTTTTCCAGTGCAGCCCCCGCCCCGCCTGCCTTCACAACCACAATACATTTCCCAGAGGGAGGAGGAGGTTGTCCCCAACATGTTTTTGCTCACGCGTGTCCTCTCCAAGACACACGTTGTTGTGTGCGAGTTTAAGACTTGTGGACTTCAACTCCCAGAATTCCCCAGGCGACCCATTCTTCCTGGGGAATTCTGGGAGTTTAAGTCCGTGGGTCTTCCAAAAAAGCTGACCGGGTTGGACTGCCCTCCCTTAAGAGTGCCGTTTTATTTATTTGTTAAATTTATATGCTGCCCTTCTCGCTCTCCAGCAACTTTGAGCGGCCCTCAACAATTAAGGTGAACAACTTTTTTACAATGAGAAGGAGGACACAAATAAATTGAAGAAAAAATATCGTAAATAAAACGTTTTATTCATTGCAACAATACAGAATACACTATAATATGATAAATGCATAATAAAAAACATTTGTAACAACATTTTATATTGTAATTATGCTTACATGCCTATTAATTATTATTTAAATGAGTACAAAAGGACTGTCCTCCCTAAAGGAGGAGGATTGGTCACCTTAATACATAATCTAAAATGATAATCTAAAAGCATTTGATCTTGAAATGTTGAAACTGCCCAAGAAGTACGTAAGAAGGGACTGATGCATAAACTGGGCAGAGGCGAGATCGTTTGCTAAGCTACTGACCATCTTCAAAGTGGTTGTTTTTCTGATATTTCTCATTTCAAAAGCAATAATGCATCAGCTGCACTTGCTGTGTTGGTTAAGTCCATGCTAAGCAAACAAAATGTATTCTTGTCTTTAATTGTTTTTTATAATATTCACACACATATTTGCTTTTAATGTCTATTTGCACACCATGCAGAGTTGCTGTAGGAGGGAGATGGGTGGTCTCTAAAATTGATGTATAAATATATGTTTTGGTGATTTATGGAATCCTAACCTTACAATATGGAATGGTTCAAGTTCATACACCCCCTGCAGATAAAGCCATGTCATTTCCCTGAAAATATAATTGGTAACTCTAATTTGATATGATAAATGAGAAGTTTATGTTCTTTCCAAACCCTGACTATTATCTTTTTTTTTCTGCTACAACATTTGCCCAGAAAACAAAATCTCAGAATTGTTTTGTAGGACATTTCTATTCCTGTATGTTTTGAACTTCTGTATCCTAGCATAGCACTGGATCCCATCGTGCTTGAACCTCAGGATCCCTGATGGTTCTGGGCATCGATCTGCCCTTCCCCATAGACATTCTTCAAGAGCAATATGTCCACAGACAAGCACGAATATTTATTTCTCTCATGCTACAAATCCTAACAGCTTTAAGTACAAGGTGGCCTCTTTGATCCAGGAATGGTCTAAGTGTGGACAATGCTAACCAGACATGAAGTAGCACATTCCATAAACAACTCAAAAGTTCTGTTAGCCCCAGTTTTTATTTTTATCTGCTGAAGTTCAGGCCAGCGCCTTGAATTCTAGACCTTAATCAAGTGGATATTCTCTTTCTTGCCCCCTCAATCTGTCTTCCTTTAATTTAAATCTGGAATGATAAGAGTAGAGGTCCTCCTGTGTGACCTCTTTCTCATATTGGAAGAGCACAATTATCCTCCCCCTTCCATCAATTCTCATACCCAACTCCCCAGATCTCCTCAGAAGACGACATCCCTATTTCTTGATTTGATTTCTATAACTGCCCATCTCAACAAGTGACTCGTGTAAAGAGTCATGTAGAACGTCCTTGTGAAGTCCTTCATGAAAGGCCCTTCCTCCTCAGGACAATGGTGACCACTTGGTCTCGGATCTCCTTGGTCTTCACTCCGTAGACAATGGGGTTCAGCATGGGAGGAAAGAGGAGGTAGAAGTTGGCCAGGAGAATGTGCACGTGAGGCAACACGTGATGGCCAAATCTGTGCGTCAGGATGGTGAAGAGAGCCGGGGTGTAGGACACCAGGATGACCACCACGTGAGCTGCACAGGTGCTGAAGACTTTGTAGCGAGCATCTCGTGAGGGCAGGGCCAGGACTGCCCTGGTAATCATGCAGTAGGAAAAGGTGATAAACAGCAGATCAGCCCCGACCACCAGCAGTGCCACCAGAAGCCCATAGACCACGTTGGCCAGGATGCTTGAGCAAGCCAGTTTCACCACCGCCATATGCTCACAATAGGTGTGAGCAATGATGTTGGTTTTGCAGTAGGAAAGACGTGCCGCTAAGATGATGATGGGGACAATGAAGACGGTGCCTCTCAGGACCACCACGATGCCAATCTTGGTCAGCAGAGGGCTGGTTAGGATGGTGTCATATCTCAGGGGGTTGCAAATGGCCACGTAACGGTCAAAGGCCATGGCTACCAGCACGCTGGACTCCATGACCGAGAAGGCATGGATGAAGAACATCTGGGCCAGGCAGGCCTTGGAACTGATTTCTCCAGCTCGGAACCAGACGATGCAAAGCATCTTGGGTAGGGTGGAGGTGGACAGGACCAGGTCTATGGTGGCCAGCATGCAGAGGAAGAGGTACATGGGCTTGTGGAGCCTCTGCTCTGTGGCGATCATGTACAACATGGTGCTGTTCCCCAGCAGTGTCACAACATACATAGATGAGAGCGGGATGGAGATCCAATAGTAAAAGGCTTCAAGGCCAGGAATACCTAACAGGATGAAGGAGGAAGAAGTGCCATGGCTCCCATTAAGTGCAAACATTGCTCCTTGGGGGCATGGTGCACGCTGGATCCACAGGTACCTCTGCCCTCTGCTGCGGGAAAAGAGAAGGAGGGGGTGAATTTTGCTCTCCCACCACATCAGAATACAGAATAGAGGACAACAGAGTCGGAAGGGACTTTGGGGGTCTTCTAATCCAACCCCTTGCCAAAGCAGGAGACCCTATGTCAGGGGTCTTCAAACTTGGCCCTTTGATGACTTGTGGACTTCAACTCCCAGAATTCCTCAGCCAGTGTGCCTAGCTGAGGAATTCTGGGAGTTGAAGTCCAGGGCTCTTCCAACTTGGCCCTTTGATGACTTGTGGACTTCGACTCCCAGAATTCCTCAGCCAGGCACATGTGCCTGGCTGAGGAATTCTGGGAGTCGAAGTCCACAAGTCATCAAAGGGCCAAGTTGGAAGACTCCTGCCCTATCTCATTCTGCACTGTCCAGGTGGCTGTCCAGTCTCCATCTCCTCCAGTGATGGAGCAGCCACAATTTGAGGAGGGAAGCCCCCCCGTTTGTCCTAAAGATGCTTTTTCCAAAAGGCAACTGGGCTTCTTCAGTTCTGGTTCTCATTCAAGTCCCTCTTAGATGAGAAGCGAAACGTTTTCAAAGAAAAAAAAAATCAAGAAAGTCCAGTTGTCTTTTGGAACAAGCACGTTTGGGACAACCATGACTGTGAATCTCCCTAGACATCAAGCCATTCCACTGACTGATTATGTATGTATGTATGTATGTATCATAATTTATATAAATTAATTGTTCTCACTGAGAGAAAATCCTTAATTCTAAGTTGGTTCTCTCTTTAATAAATGTCCATCCGTTACTTCTTATCCTGCCTTCAGGTGCTTTGAGGAATAGCCTGACCTCCTTCCCTCTTCTCTGTGGCAGCCCCTCAAATATTGGAAGACCGCTATCCTGTCACCCCAATCCTTGGTGAGACTGGCTATACCCAGTTCCTGCAACCGTCCATCAAATATTTTAGCCTCCAGTCTCCTAATCATCTCACTGGACTCCCTGGAGAAGAGCCTGATGCTGGGAAAGATGGAGGGCAAGAGAAGAAGGGGACGACAGAGAAGGAGGTGGCTGGATGAGTCCCTGAAGCAGGAGGCATGAGTTTAAATGGACTCCAGAAAATGGTAGAGGACAGGAAGGCCTGGAGGAACGTTGTCCATGGGTCGCCATGGGTCGGACACGACTTCACAACTAACAACAACACCTCCTAATCATCATTGTTGCTCCCCTCTGCTGTTTGTCCCTCAGGTGTGCCTTTCATAGTTTACACGTCTCCACACGATTCCTTTTCAGATGGACTTCACAGCAAACTCAGCACGCCTTTTCATGGATTATAATGCCTTATAATGGGTGGAGGAAGTTTCAGAAAAAATTGTGAGGCTCCCCTACCCCCCCAAAACAAACCACAGTCTCAAGAGACTGCCTCTTTGACTACAGAATCAGAGGTTCACCCTCTTGCTAAGGGTTTCCCCACCCAATATTTTAAGTTGTCTTTCTCATCAGGTGATCCCAAATGCAAGGGGTGGAATGTGCTTTTGGGGTTCCAGGGGAGAAACACCACCCCTGGGATTCAGGAGGCTCTGCACAAAGTGGGAAGGGTCTTTTTAGCCCACTGGCAATGCACAGCTCCCCTCCCCCATGGCATGTGTCGGGGAGTGACAGAAAGTCAAGGAGAATTGATAGGCGGAGGCTGAACCTCTGTCTGATGCTTGCCCACTGCCCTGCTTTGTAAATAGCTGTAATACGCAAGCAGCAACTCCAGTCTTCCTTATTTAACGCCCATGAAATAGCCACAGGATAAAATAAATCAAAAAGGTGGTTCGCAATAGCGAATGCTGAGTTTTCCTGGGGCTGCTTTAAAGCTTGTAGCTTGGTAGCATTTAGAGGTGTCACTTCAAGGGGAGAAAGTAAGAGAGAAAGAAAGAGAAAAGCAACCTGGAACTAAGGAGGAATTTCCTGACAGTCAGAACAATTAATCAGTGGAAACACCTGCCTCCAGAAGTTGCAGGTGCTCCAACACTGGAAGTTTTTAAGAAGAGACTGGACAGCCACTTGTCTGAAATGGTACTATAGGGTTTCCTGCCTGAGCAGGGGGGTTGGACTAGATGACCTCCAAGGTCCCTTCCAACAACAACATCATCATCATCATCATCATTATTATTATTATTATTATTATTATTATTATTATTATTATTATTAAAGTCTGAACAACCAGCCTTGGAACCAGCTTCAGGGGGAGGAAAGCGACTAAAATGCCCACCGTCTTCTCTGTTTCTTTGAACTAACCAACCACCTCACTGGAGCCTGGTCAGTCTGTTGCTCTGCCCCCAGCACTGTGGTGGTCGCAAGAGGGAGGCACCAGCTAGACTGGCCCTCAGGGACGTGTCACTAGACCCTCCGCCTCACTCACCCCAGATCCTGAGCAGCCAGTCCTGGCAGCCTGCCCCAAGCAGTGAACGGAAGGGTACGCTGCTCTGTCTGGAAGTGGCACCTTTGGACTCCCCTCAAGGCTTTTATTCCTCCGTGCTGCCCCTTCTCTGGCCTGCTGAGAGGACCCGGCATCTGGGCATCTCCTAGGAGGCTCCTCTCTGGAACAATGGCTGAGCCACCGTTTCCTCTCTCCTTCCCTCGGGCACCGGACTGGGCAGGGAGGAGGGACGGGCACGGGCTCCCTGTGCCGCTGTCTGCCCCCTCCCTCCCTAGTCTGAGATGGGCAACCTGCAGCCCAGGGCCTTTCGGGTCCTGGGGGCTCCGTGGTAGGACTCTGGCTCTCCCTCTGACCCACAGAGCTGGGCTCTGGGCCGTTGAGAATAATAATAATAATAATAATAATAATAATAATAATAATAATAATAATAATAATAATAATAATAATAATAATAATAATAGTAAAGTTGGAAGGGGCCTTGGAGGTCATCTAGTCCAACCCCCTGCTCGGGCAGGAAACCCTACACCATTTCGGACAAATGGCTGTCCAGTCTCTTCTTAAAAACTTCCAGTGTTGGAGCATTTACTGCTTCTGGAGGCAAGCTGTTCCACTGATTAATTGTTCTCACTGTCAGGAAGTTTCTCCTTAGTTCTAGGTTGCTTCTCTCCTTGATTAGTTTCCACCCGTTGCTTCTTGTCCTGCCTTCAGGTGCTTTGGAGAATAGCTTATTTCCCTCTTCTTTATGGCAGCCCCTGAGATATTGGAATACTGCTGTCATGTAGGAAGTAGGAAGTAGGAAGAAGTCGGAAATGGCCAAGCTGCCAGTCACGAACAGCCCCCCAACCCCTGCCCTGATCTCAGCTCACTGCACGGCCTCTGCGGCACTTAGGCCGACTTGCTTAAAACCGGGGCAGGAGGTGAAGGAGGAGAGAGGGTGAGTGAAGAAAAAGAGGGAACGAAGTAAGTTGGTTTGAGGTGGGATGCGGTTTGGGGGGAGATGGGCGGGCAAGACCGAATGTGGTGTGTATCAATTTGTTTTATTTTTTATCTGAACTATTTGTAAGATTGTTATGTATTGTAAAGTTGAAAATAAAAAATTTTACAAAAAAAAAACCTGGGGCACGTCTGCCGTTCTTATTTTTATTTTGAAATTTTTTAAACATCACCATTAAAAAAAATACAAACTAAAAAGAAAAGCCAAGAATAGAAAGTGCAGAAAAGAAATAAAAATAGGGAAGAAAGGATACCATTTCTTTAAAAAAAATAATGATTTCCTCCTTCATTGCAATTTTAATATGTATGAGCAATATAAGCTGTTTTAGTAACCTCTCCCCTTGGCTTAAAACATAACAAACTTCCTACACTCCAGTCCTCGGAAGTTTGGAACCAAGTCGTAAGTACCCCCCCCAGGGAGGTCCGTCATAACTTTGAACCAGTTGTAAGTCGAGGACTACCTGTAGCTCTCTGAGCTTTGCTGGAAGTATGTTTTTCTTCTTCTCTTGGCATCTATCCCATCTATTTAGTCCAATAAAATAACTTTGGTTCTTTCCCACGTCTCAGGAAGTGGCCTCTGAAGTTGCTCCTTCGACAGCCCTCATGACCTGTCATGGCTTATCTCGCCTTTGTGCTTGTGAAGGCACCAACATCTGGGATTGCACCAGGACCTGCCTGAAAGGGCATAGGATCTCCTGCCTGAGGTCCCTTCCAGTCTATTCTGATTCCAACTCTTACTCAATCATGGTATCCTTCCGGCTACACGGCCTCTAATATCTCCCGCCAAGAACACTGAATGAGTCAGAAAAGAGAATCTGTGTCTGAATGGAAGGGAACTTCCTTATGTCTTGGCCAGCAAACCACCTTTCTGGTCTTCTGGAGAGTGAGTTTAATGAACCATACCTTGAAGGTTCATCCCCAGTGTGTGGTGTCCATCTGAACCCACCGGGGCATGGGGTTAGAATGGCAGGAGAGCATGGACAAACACAACCATGTGCAAAGACCTGATGGATAAAAGTACCAAGACCCAGCCAGTGTGTGTGTGTGTGTGTGTGTGTGTGTGTGTGTGTGTGTGTGTGTCTTTGTGTGCCTTTGCATCATTCTTGATTCCTGGAGACCACCTAGAGCAGGGGTAGGCAATCTTGGCTCTTTTATGACTGGTGGACTTCAACTCCCAGAATTCCTGAGCCAGCATGGGGGAAACTTTGGCCCCCTCATGACTCGCGGACTTCAACTCCCAGAATTCCTAAGCCAGCATGGGAGAACTATGGCCCCTTCATGACTGGTGGACTTCAACTCCCAGAATTCCTGAGCCAGAATGGCTCAGCTTGGAAACCTCTCCCTTCCCCTCAGCATGGCTGGCTCAGGAATTCTGGGAGTTGAAGTCTACGAGTCATAAAAGAGCCAAGGTTTCCTACCCCTGACCTAGAGGAGCAGTTTTCCTAGCAACTCTTTCAGGAGTGGTTGGCCCTTTCCTCCTTCCTGGGCTGAGAGGGAAGGACTGACCCAAAGTCACCCCCTTGGCTTGATGCCTGAGGAGCAACTAGGAGTAGAACACATGGTCTCTGGGCTGGGATCTTCACCCTTGCCCACCAAATGCCTCTCTTTGTACGTACTAGGAGGGAAGAAATGACTGAAGAAGTGGATGTGGTAGGAACAGATCCTAGAATTCAGGAGGGGTCCACCTAGCTCCACCACTC